TATCGGCCTGCCCCATGGAGCCAACAACCTGCTTTGGAACCTGTTTGTCACGCGTATTACCAAGACAACTGGTATATGCATCGGCTGACACAGCAGCTTCGCATGTGGAGGCTTCTGAGTAACGACCGTGTCTCATTCCATAGACAGGAAGAATCCCTCTCCTCCGTCTTCTGTCCTTCACTGGAGCTAGTCTCCATACATACAGCACTTCCCGCAGGCCCGTTCCCTGTATTAGAAAGCCTGAAGCCTTACCCTATGTCACGGTAATTGGTATTGGTATTCACGTGCGAGACCCATCCTCATGAAATAAAAGAAGCAGAGTAAACGCCACTCGCTCCAAGGCTATGCATTCTTCTCACACCAAAAAAGCCCAATCCCCTTTCTCCTTTCTTGTTCATATCCCTCCTCTCTTTGTCCAGTTGCGCCGTTCTCCTCGGTGTCCCCTGTATGCTCGGCGCTCGATTGCACTTAGGAAAGATGGAAGGCTCCTTGTCCTTCCTTGATGGCGACGTTCAACTTCTGCTTGAGGACATCCAGCGAGCTGTAGTCTGGCATCTTGAGATAGTTGACACAAGTCATGACGCTGGGAAGATAGTCGTCCGAGGCGTAGGGTGGCTCGGCAGGCTTGCAGACGACGGTGAACATGGGCGTCAGCGACTTGAAACCTGCAAAAATAGTCAGCATTGAGCGGTTGCAAGTAGAGGGCGAAGACCACACATACCTCCGATTGGCAGCTTTGGACTGCCCGTGACGAACTGCAAGAAGTCACGTCGAGCTTGTGGAGACAGCTCGGACATGGTCTGCAGCAAGTTACGGACGCTCTTGCTGTCCAGGTTGTAACCATGATCTGCCTTGATGGAGTCCATGAGAGTCTCAAGCCTCCAGTCCTCCTCCACACGTCCGAAAAGCATCACGAGCTCATCCGGCGTGAAAGCCTTCAGTGCCGAGTAGGGGAAGACCTGCGAGAAGCCTGCGCTGAAGGCTTCGTGTTGCTTCTGCACACCAGCGCCAAGAGTGAATTCGATGACCTTCTTGACGTAAGCACCAACGTTGTCGATGGTGACATCGATGCTAGCACCGTGTGGCTGAAGTTCTATGTGCGGGTAACCCGGAAGCGTGAAGTCCAGTGCAAGATCATCAATCTTCAGGTCATTGATGCGAATGTGCTCGGCTTTCTGGGCCTTCTGCGCTGGGGACAGCTTCGTGTCTTCATCGATGCGCTGCTTGGCATTGGCATACTTGCGCAGGATCTTGAGTGAGTTGGCCAGATCGTGATCAACAGTGGCGACAGCGCCCAAAGATGGTGTGACCGTGGTAGATCCATCTCCTATGCGGAAGAAGGTCGGGTTGAAGGACACATCGATGATGCGCGAGTCAAGCATTGAGCGGGCGACAAACTTGCCCAGCATCTTGAAAAGATGCAGCACTCGCTGGCCGTTCTCGTCGCGAGACATCTCCTCGCTCATCGGAGCTGGGAAGAGACCGCGCTTGCCGAATGCATACTCATCGCGATCTGCGGACTCGTTCTCGCGCCAAAGCTTCGTCTTCTTCTTGGAGAACTCTTTCGAAACAGTCGAGTAGAATTCCAGAGTCGGTCCAAGGCCCGTGCCGACCTCCTCGAAATACTCCACCTCCAAGACGCTTGAAGAGCTGCCATAAAGCTCCATAACCTTGATGGCTGACTCTAAGATGCGACTGCGGGAGATGCGGATCTTCTGGCGCTGTATCCTGCCCAAGAATGGACGCTCGTCGCGGTGACGGTGTCGAGAATCGTGCTGCTGATCACCTTGCCAGCGAAACATCAAGCGGGAGTACCCGAACGATGTTGATTGCAAGAATAGGTGGCGTGTCTCGAAAGGGAACAGGAATGGATAAAGTCTAGCAAGATCCTCGCTCCAGCTTGGCAGGCACTGGCTTGCAACGATGAGAGGTTCTTCCAACTGTCGATTCAACTTCGCGGTAAGCTTGGTGTTGACGAACTGCGATGGCGGCTCTGGATTGAGGTGGACGCTGGACGCGTTCTTGTGCTCAGCGACGACGTCTTCCAGGTTCGCGTTCAGCTCGTGAAGGATACTCATGAGGCGGAGTATGTTGGAGGTCACCGGATGCTTGTCGAGAGAAGGTGGCAGACCAGTAACACCGTCTACTGGCGACGGTGCGGCTGGGGTATCTCGCTCTTTTGGCGGAGGCCCTTGCACTCGCTTGAAGCTGATGGTGTGGGTTGCTGACCAGATGCTGCGGCCAGTCACTTCATCGCCTCGGACTTGGTTGAAGTGACAGGCGCGGTAGATGGTAGTGTCGCTCGACACAGGCTGTCCGTTGACGCTGAATTCGATGTGCCAGTCCTCCGGTGTTGCCGCCACTGCCCCCGCGTAAGACATTGGGCGAGCGGACGATGTCGGAGTGTTGAGCAGCTCGCGCGCCGCCGCAAGGCGAGATGATGCGGATATACGATCTCTACCAGTGGGGGTTGGTACACCTTGCGAAGGCGTGGCAACCCGCGTACCATCTTCTGTCCGAGCGGTGACCTTTCCAGCACCAGTCTCAATGTTCACAGCTGACGGATCGGGCACGTTCCTCTCCAGACCACCTTCCTCTAAGTCGTCGACCAGTGCGTCCAGATCAGCATCAACATCATCATCTTCGTCAGTGATCTGGGTCTCATCCGCGCATTCTAGTGCTTCCTGGAGCTCATCCTGGTCTTGCGAGGACAACTCCGGAGCGGGTTGGGGAGGAGATTCCGCAGGAGGTGCCGCCGCCGAGGAAGCTTGCGCAGAGTGGCGCCTAGACGAACGGCGAAGCGGGCGGCTGGATGATCCCTCAGGCTTGCTCGACTCAGCTTCCGCACCACCAGAGGGCTCCGCTTTTGTCGACTTGGTTCTAGGTGGCTTCTTGCCTGCGCTTCTCGTTGGCAACGAGCTATCAGGCGGGTTTCCTGGCATTGAAGGTGGAGGCGGGATTCTGTCGCTACGTCCGGCCATAGCTGCTGCGTATGCTGCCATTGCACTCGTAATGCCTTCACGGCGAGCACCTCGCGGGCGCTCGACATGATTGATGCGCGGACGAAGGTAGTCGGCGAGCGAGGTGAAAGTAGCAATAGCTTGTATCGAGACCATGATGTTCCTATATGGCCGGGGGATGCCGGATTCTTCGTCCGCAATCAGCTTCACACGAAGTTGCTTTGCGAGCATGGAGGCTGCGCTGCCGCGACTACTCTCAAAGGCGTTGTGATGTACGGTGAGGACCTCGAAATGCTCCGCGCGGCTCAGGAGCTCTTGAAGCTTATGAATGAGAACGCTGAAGGCAGTAGCCGGCGATTTGGCATCTCCAGTGGCAATCTTAGCCTGGTTCGAGCTCGCCATGAATACCTCAAGGAAGTCAGATCGAGCACTTCGCGCAGCCTCCACATCCTCGGAATTGAATATGTGCAGCAGAACCTCCACGATACCGGATGTCATCAGCTCGTAGCTGGTAATGCTGTGAAGGGCGTCGTTATCGAAGTATTTGGCCAGGTTCTCGAAGTATGACACACCGCTCCGGGTGCTGTCCGGGTCGTAGCACTGCTTCAATTGGTCTGCAAGAGACTTGATTTCACCGAGAACTTCGGTTGCCTTCGTCCGCATCTCCTCGTTGCCTCCTTCGGCGTGAGCTTCCATGAACCGCTTCGCCCGAACGGTAGCAATGTCTTGAGCAGTCATCAGGCGACGCGGTCTCGGCGAGGGCAGCTCGGAGTCCTGAGAATGGTGTTGCTCGTTCTCGGCTTCTTCGTCGTCATCATGCTCATCGTCGTCGTCTACGTCCTCATCATGCTGATCGTCTTCGTTTTCATTGTTGTCGTCATCTTCGCCTTCGTTGTCTTCGTCGGAGGCTTCTTCTTCAACATCAACCTCGATAGGGTCGATCTCTTCATCCTGATCCTCGTCGTCATCTTGCTCGTCAACTTCAGGTGGCGGAATAGTGTCCTCATTGGCAGCCTTTGCGGGCACGTCTGTCATTGTTTCCATCTTGACTGGACGGCCGGCGAGCTTCGCGATTTCGGACATGACGCCCTCGCGATAGAACTGTGGGCGATACACTGCCTCCATGCGCTTCAGGAGCAGCTCGGCTGCCTGAAGTGCAAAAGTGACCAAGCCGGGATTCTCCTGCTGTGACAAGATCGAGGCAAGGTGTGATGCGTAGGTGACTCCACGAAGAGCTTCCTCGAGAATGCTTGTGTCAAGGTTCGACAGCATCTTCAACTGTGCCGTAAGGACCTTCTGACGCACGCTGAGGTTGACTGTGCTGGTGTATGCATGCATGAGCGTGGGGAATAGGATAATCGCGAATCGCTTGACTTGATCATGACAGTCCTTGAGCAGCTCGATCCTCTTCTCGTTCGAGGCTGTCTTGGAACGCATTGACAGGGTAATGTGATCAGGCCCAGTGTACCCAGCATCTTGCAGGTCTTCCAGGAAGTTGAGGCTGTCTTGGGACACAGTAGGCAGGAGTTCACAGACGACGTTCAATGTCTCAAAAATCTGCTCCCGTGGTGTGCGAATGATCGACTGCATGATAACGTTCTTGTCAATTTGCAAGGCGGCCCCGTCGCTTCCTGCTGGCGGAGATACGCCTGTTAGGATCTGGTACAGTGTGTCGACGACGTTCATCTTCAAGAGCTCTACGGAGAGACTCGGGCTGGCACGCGAAGTGATAGAGAGGACGCGCAGGAACTGGGTGTGGATGTTCGGTCCAATCATATTGGTGGTGCCAGGAAGCAACAGGCGAAGAATTGCCTTGAGCAGCTCTGGGCTCACGAGCTCCTCCAACTTGCTCTCATGGAACTTGAAGCTGTCGACGATTCGGGCGACGCACAGAGATGCTTGCTCCACCACGCGTTGATCACTGCTCGCGAGCGTGTTGAGCAGAATCGGCATCACATCTCGAACAGTTGGAAAGGAGTCTTCCGGTATGTTGCGGCAGCAATTGGCAGCAGTTGTCACCGCCGTTCTCTGCGTGCCGGTGGCGAAGAAGTCCAAGTACGTGAGGCAGGCAGTCAAGCCGCCTTCGCGGACGATAGACGAAGGGAACTCGACTGATATCTTCTCGAGCGTGCTAAGCGCCTGCTCTGCCAGATCGATGTAGTGAATCTCGAGCAACTTCTGACACAGAATGGGAACAGCACCACCGTAGACCACGCTCGCAGTCGATGCCGGAAGCGCTTCCATCATGTTGGCAATGCAGCGGCACGCAAGAAGCATGATCTCGGGATTCTCCTCGCCGGTGAAATCATTGGGTTGCATGAGCGCGATCAGCTCTTTCACGTATTGATCAGGAGCGAAGTGGCCTGCTAGGTTGTCTTCGTTCGAGACCAAGAGCAACTCCGCTAGATCTTGCAAGGCAATGAGCTGGACTGACGGGTCATCTTTGGCTCGAAGTTGCTCGAGAATGTTGCGAAGGCGGCTATTGGTGCCTGAGACTATGCCTGAGAGGGCTCTGAGACTGCTGGAGAGACCTGCGTGGCCACCAAAGCGGGCGAGGTACCCATGAGCGAATGGATCTTCTCCTCGATCCAAAGCGTCCAGGTCGTCATGGCCAAAGCGTCGGGGAGGGTCATCGCTGCTCTCAGCTCCACCTCCAGCGGCTTCTCGTGACTGCTCATCCTCCTCCTGTGTCTCTGGACGTGTGTCGTCCGCCTTCTCATCCACATCTTTCATGGCCACATCCTGATCCTTCTTCGAGCCTCTCCGTGATTTCCTCGAGGACGGGGCAGCGGAGCTGGATGGGTGTGGATCTGAGATCTGATTAGTGTCTCTTCGAGATGTACTGGATGAAGTAGCCCGACCTTCTTTAGTCTTGCGACGGCTTGACTTGCGGCGAGAAGAGTCACGCGGGAGCTGCTGTGGTGAAGTCTCCGCTGAGTTGTCGGTAGACGGCCTGTCCATGTCAGTGACATGCGTGGAAGGGGTTGGAGGTGGCGGATCAGACCCAGCACTGGACATCCCGGCGGCGGCCGCCCTCCTCGTCCCTCTCTTAGGCACCTCAAGAGGCTCCTGCGGAGTGATAGGCTCGGGATCCGGATTGGCAAGACTGCCTCGTGAACGCTTGGTCTTGCGCGGCTCACGAGTAGCCTGCGGCGAGTTCTCCGCGGGAGCCTTACGCTTGCGAGAGGCGGAGGCTGTGCGTGCGGGCGTAGGGTGTGCGGCGGTGTTGTGGGGAGATTGGAGTTGGGTATTGGCGTTTGTTGTATCGGTGCTGATGTCGTCTTCGTCGTCGTCGGCGTGCAGCCTAGCGGCGGTGGCGCGGGTGATACGTTGGCTTGGAGGCATGTCAATGAATGTTGGGATATCAAAGCGTGCGTGAGGGTGGGTTGTGAGGATGATGCAGAATCAAACTGGAGCTGCCGTGACTGCTGCTGCTGCTGCTGCTGCTGCTGCTTCTGCCTCTCGCGGAGTCCGTGCCCGCGGGCGCTTTGTCGTGAGTGTGTGGTGCAAACGCAGGCAGACGACGGGAGGTGCAGAATTTGTCGCTAGGTGGAGTGGTGATTGTTGGCAGCAGCAGGGGCGTGAAAGGCGTCAAAGGAAAGGGCGATGCGTACGATGGGGAATCCTCGTGATGAATCAAGTTGGAAGTGCGGCTCGCGTTCAGGCGTCGATTCATCTCTTCCGCCAACCCGTCATGGTCGTCGCGGCGCGGAGGCGGTGGAACTGTATTCGCGAGTTCGAGCAGCGGGTGGAGGAGCAAAAGGGCGGTAGTGGTAGTGGTGGTGGGTGGTGAAGGTGGGAGACTGCAGTGTCAGTGAAGTCCGACGTTGGTGGAGTACAGCACACAGCCCTGAGTCGGAAGCCCGCCCGGAGCTTAAGAGGGCAAGACGGGAGGGAGGGTTCGCGTCGCCCCGTTCGCCTTCAACCCAATCACATGCCGATCTACGCGATATTCACGAGTATGCGATACGTCTACACGTGTTGAAGGACATCCAGGGTGCGAGGACGAGAGAATGCGAGAGACTGGGTCCAACGAGTGCGCCGGCACGTGAAGGAGGGCACTGTATGTGCAAAGTCATACACGTATATACACGAAGCCGACAGAGCCACGCCCATCTCGACCCAAACCTCCTCGCTGAGCCTCCAGTCCATTACCCTATGCGTCTCCCCTCACACGCAAAGCTGTCGTTGTACAGCACGATACTTTCACAATCGTACACACATCTTGATTCTGTCCTCTAGTCTTTCCACTCGGTCCTACCCAACCTCACAATATCGCCTTGCCCAAGTATCCTCGACTTATCCGACACCTTGCCCTCCACAGCATCCAACCCAGCCCTCACGGCAGCTCTCGCGATCACAACATCATCCTGCGCCCAGGAGTCCTTCAACATACCCCCACTCACACTCCCGGCAAACCTAGCTACGTTCCTTAAGACCGCCTCCGCTATCCTACTCTCTTGTCGGTTTCCTACTATCACCCCAGGCCTGACTATGACCACATTCTCGAACCCGAGCTCTTGAACCGCCTCTTCCAATTCTCCCTTCATTTTGAGATACCCCATGCTCGATTTACTATTCGCTCCCGATGAGGAAATGAGGACGTAGACTTTTGATCCGGATTCCCTTGCTGCTTTGGCCATTGCAAGGTTCAGATCGTAGTCGATCTTGCGTTGGTTTTCAAATCCTCCCGCGTTGCCTCTGGTCGTCCCGAGCGCGGATATGAAGAGCTGGCTGCCCGAGGGGTATTGGCTCGTCCATTCTGTCGCGTCCTTGGACACGATGGGCGTGACTTTCGCGTCGCCGGGTAGGGCTTTGCGCGAGAAGGTGTAGATGTGCTTCACTGCATCCGAGCCTTTCAGCGTGTTGAAGATGATTGATCCCTATACCGTCTCAGCCTCCTTTGCCAATTGCCTGTGATCAGAGATGGATGGTGCGGACCACGAGACCTGTTGCGCCTACGAGCGCTACGGTCGTCATACTAGCAAGTGTCGTTGCGAGTGCGAAATCTCGATGCTGGCGCGGCTTCCCTGATGATCTTGAACTCTTTCGAAGATTTGGTTGTTGACAGAGATGATTGTAGCAGGGAAGCGGTGGTGAAGCTTGTCAACATCATCGCGCGGGCAGCCGATTGGTAGCCGGGTTCTTATCGCCGAAGGGGGACACATTGGAATTTGGAGGCGGATGCGGATGCGGATGCGGGTATCAAATAGGAGACACGAATGGCTCGTCATTTTCATCTCCGACGCGAGGTTGTTCTGTGTGTGAGGCCACATGGCGATGGGGAAAAAAACTTCGGGCTTCGACTTTGTGTGAGATTCAGCCCATCCGCCGACACCGACACCGACATTACCTTACCATTCCCTTCCCCAGTACTAAGGTAGTACTTCGAGGATGCTGCATCAGGCTGGCATCAAACTGGACATACCACGCCGTCATACTCCGCCTCAGCAATCACACTCCCGCAGGCCTGCGTCGCGCGATGTTGAACGCAAAGGCGCTCACGGAGCTGCTCTCGCACCACCGCGACGATCGCCTGTGCAAGCGATGGTATCTCATGACGCCCAACGGCACTCTCCTGGCCTACAGCCAACCCACCGACATCAATGATCTGCGGAGACAGGCTGCCATTGCCGCCATCACGTGGCAGGAGCACCAACACCCGGCTCCAGACGGCCACCTCGCCGACAGCTTCCAGGGCGAAATCCGAGAAGACGGCGAGCCACAGCAGCCGCTGCACGTGCTGAGCGTGGAGAGCGAGGCCTCGAACGTTCTCCTACGGCAGATCCAGCCGCAGCTCTTGCTCGTGCTCGAAGGCGGCGTTCCACCGCGTCGTGCGGGCTTTGGCAGAAGGGTGACGGCGGAGAGCGCAGATGGCACGCAGCAGCAGTGGCCGCATCATCAGGGCGACAACGCCTCACTGCGGTCCAACGCGACGGCGACGGCGACGGCGACGAATGGCGGCGGCGGCGGCGGCAGCAGCAGTGCCGTGGCCGCCAGCGTGCTGAAGCTGCACCGTGGCAGGCTGGACGCGCTGGCCGACGCCATCATCTCCGATTTCCAGCAGACAGGCTTCCAGATGCCCGCCGAGGGCAGCACGACGATGACCTTCTGATGTCTCTGCTCTGCAATTGCTCTGCAGACCGGGAGATGAGATGCGATGCGATGCGTGCTTAAGACACTGCAGGAGTGGAGCGCCATTTATTGATTTATTTTCTGCGGCGTCACTGGGTTGCCGCAGTCTCGCGGGGCGGGGAAGGCCACTGCACTCTTCCAGTTGTCACATGTGGATGCCGTCGACTGACTCTAGTACGTACCTCACACCTCACACTGCAGATCTGCCCTCCTTCTCCTCCGATTCCGGCAGAGCTCTGCAATTTTCGGGTCACCTACTACTTCTTGTCCGACAATCGAGTACTGGACATATACACTCACCACGCAGTCCTTGCTGACAACTCACGACTGCTTCCGATCTGAACCGAGGTACGAAGAGAAAGAGGCTACTGGCCATTATTGAGGATGCCTCAAGCAATACCGTCCAATGGCGCCGACTCGCGACCCAAAGTCCTCATCCCCGAAAAAGTGAGCGCAGATGGCCTTCGTCTGCTGCAAGCCTCCCTGGATGTCCACGAAAAGAAAGGCTTGTCTCCCGAGGAGCTGCAGCAAATCATACCAGAATATGATGCTCTGATTGTTCGATCAGAGACCAAGGTCAACGCTGAGCTGCTTGCAGCTGGAAAGAAGCTCCGTGTTGTTGCCAGAGCAGGTGTAGGTGTCGACAATGTCGACCTGCAAGCGGCCACCAAGCTTGGCATCATTGTGGTCAACAGTCCACAGGGCAACATCAATGCCGCGGCAGAGCACACAATCGCCTTGATGATGGCCGTGGCAAGGAATGTCGGTGAAGCGAGTGTCAGCTTCAAGGGAGGCAAGTGGGAAAGGTGAGTGCTGCCGAGTTAGTTGAGTGGAATTCCGCCCTGACGATTCCTAGGAGCAAGTTGACTGGTGTGGAAGTCAAGGGCAAGACATTGGCCCTTATCGGTTTGGGAAAAGGTATGAAGGTTCTATCGTAGCGGCATTGGGGCATGTTTTCTGATGGCACGCAGTTGGTCTCACCGTTGCCCGTGCTGCTGGCGGCCTGGGCATGAACCTGATCGGCTACGACCCCTACGCAAACGTCAAGCTTGCCGAAGCAGCCAATGTTGAGATACTCTCCACCATGGACGAGCTCTTCGAGCAAGCCGACTTCCTCACCATCCACACTCCCATGATCGCTTCCACCAAAGGCATGATCAGCTCCGCCGAATTATCTAAAATGAAGCCTACCGCACGAGTTCTGAATGTGGCACGAGGCGGCATCATCGACGAGGAAGCCCTCCTCAGCGCTCTCGAAGCAGGCAAGATCGCAGGCGCAGGCCTCGACGTCTTCACCTCGGAGCCACCCAAGGAGGGAGACTCCGCCTCTAGGCTCGTCCAGCACCCCAAAGTCGTTGCGACTCCCCATCTCGGCGCCTCCACCGTCGAAGCACAGGAAAACGTCTCGATTGACGTCTGCGAACAAGTCCTCTCTATCCTCTCGGGCCAATTACCACGCTCTGCCGTCAACGCACCCATCATCATGGCGGAAGAATACCGCACTCTGCAGCCTTTCGTCTCTCTGCTCGAGAAAATGGGCTCCCTCTACACGCAACACTTCGGGCCCTCCAACTCTGCCCAGCGCGTCCGCACCGTCTTCGATCTGACATACGAAGGCACGCTCGCCGAAACCCAAACTACCAAGCCCCTCTTCGCCGCCCTCATCAAGGGCCTCATGTCCCCCATCACCGAAGAGGGGACCTCGAACATCAACATCGTCAACGCCGAACTCGTAGCCAAGGAACGCGGAATCCTCGTCAACGAATCCCGCGCCCGCAACCCCCCCGACAGCGCGGAGGGATATTCCGCCTCCGTCACGCTGAAAGCCCGTCTGGACCCGCGCTCTGCCTCCGCACAACGCGCCGCGCGCCCGGAGCCGCCCGTCCGCGCCGCCACCACGACGGGCAGAATCCAGAAGATCGAAGACCAGCTCATCTCGGGCTTCGTCTCCAACAACACCCCCTACATCTCCCGCCTGGGCCGCTTCGCCACGTCCTTTGTGCCCGAGGGCGCGCTCTTGATCTGTAGGAATTACGACGAGCCGGGCAAGATTGGCACCGTGGGCGGGAAGCTGGGCAAGGCGGGTGTGAATATCCGATCCATGAGCGTGGCGCCCATCGACGACGAGGGGGGCAGGGGCAAGGGCCACCACGACGACAACGACGGGGAATCGTCGAAGGGCGAGGCGGCGGCGGCGAAGAAGGGGAAGGAAAACGAAGCGTTGATGATTTTGGGCGTGGATGGGGTGGTGAGCGAGGAGGTGAGGCAGGCTTTACTCGGTGATGATGGGGTTCTGGAGGCGTATCAGGTTGTGCTTTGAGCTGAGCTGGGCGAAACGAAAATTTCCGAGGGACTGATCGGTTGTTAAAAGGGGCATGCATGTTCTAGGGAGAAGGAGATTCAACACCTTTTTTGGGGGGAAGGACTAGATACAGGGGGACGGGAGAGAAGGATGACAGATGGCATAGATAGATTTTACATCTACAATTCTGTTGAACGTACACGGTTTTCGTTTGATTTTTCTTCATCGATGCTGGAGCTTTGCGATTTATACCTCCGTGCGTGGTGGTCGCGCGTAAGCGAAGAAGCCCCGCTCGACCATATCTTCTGTTCATCATGCGTCTCTCGCTGCCACTTTAGATGTCGCTCGGCTTGTAGGCGCCGTTCTGGACGACTTCAATCCAGTATCCGTCAGGGTCCAGGACAAAGGCAATGCTAGACGAGCAATTAGTCTTCCATTCTCATGCCAAGTGAATGTTGGTAGGGAAACTTACTTCTTCATCCTCCCATCTGTCAACCGCTTCTTCCACTGCACTCCCTTCTCCTCGAAACGCTTGCATGCCGCCTCCAAGTCATCCACGGAAACGCAAATATGTCCGAAACCTTGCGGATCCGAGTTGCCATCATGGTAGACTTTTCCTTCTTGCTTTTCAGTCCCGTAGTTCCAAGTGAGCTCGAGGAGTCCCTCCCGGTCCGCGGTCGGGTTGACGCCATTCGCTGAATCGTCGGGCGAAGGCTTGGGACCGTAGCCCAGGAAGTACAGGGTGAAGCCGGCACTGGTGTTCTCGGAAGTTCGCTTGAGATTCATGCCCATGACGTCTTCGTAGAATTTGATCGAGACGTCCTTGTCCTTGACGCGGATCATGGTGTGGTTCATTCGGTAGGTTTGGAGGTCGGTGGTTGTGACGTCCTCGGTTTTGTCGACCGGGTTTTGCGCGATGATTTCGACCCAGTACTCGTCCGGGTCGAGGGCGAAGGCGATGTGGTGCATGCGGCCGTCTTTCAGTCTCTTCTGGAATTTGTAGCCGGCGTCTTCCAAGCGCTTGCACGCTGCCTACGTTGATGAAAGGTAAGCAGGTAATTCAAATATGAAGCAATGCCCTTCACTCACTTGGATGTTGTCCACACTGACACAGACATGACCGAAGCCCTTTCCATGGTCCTTGTTTCCGTTCGCAACCTTGTAGTTGGGATCGTTCTCAGTGCCGTAGTTGTGTGTGAGCTAGTCCAGAAATCAGCCAATGCCTCGGACACGATAGATAGCTCCCATCGCGTTTGTATCCTACCTCAATGATTCCCTCCCGATCCGTCCAGTGCTTTCCAGCCGAAGCAGCCTTTGGAGAATCATACGCCAGGAAGTAAAGATCGAACTTGTTGTCCGGATTCTGGACCTTGTTGATGAGGCTCATGCCCAGATGCTCATAGAACTTCACACCTGCATAGCAATCACATGTAAGTACATTGATATCCTCTTGCTCCAACCAGCTCCTACTCACTTGCTTTCGGGTCCTTGACCCTCAGCATGCTGTGATTGAACTTGTACTTGGTCGGGTCGGTCATCTTGGCGGTAGTCGCGTATGTCCTGGTCGTGGGTTGAAAACGTCGGGATGTCAATGCCGTTCTTCGCAATGCAGAAGCGAGCATCAATGACTATGTAGGTGACTTGTTTGTTTGTTGTGGGATGTTTTTCCAACGTGCAATGCACGCCTCATGCAATGACATTTGGATTTGCGAAGGGGAATGACGTTGATGCGGGGCAGATTAGTCCGCGGGGTTGGCCCAGCCCCTGACCCCTGTGCCCGAGCCGAATACTTCTTAGGTTCCATCCATTCACTTTGACAGCATGGAGAAAGAAACATCGTCGAGACACAGAGACGAGGAACGAGCACTACAAGGAACGAGCGCCACTCGGTCTCATGCGTTCGCGAAAAGCTTCCGATCCTCGCCTCCTACACCGCTCCGGAGAACATGCTTAATCCTCATCCTACATTTTCGAGGAAATAATACAATGAATTGATTGGAGGGGTTGAAACAAGGGGTGAAGACAAGAAATTGAACAAGGACTCGCTGCTACAAGCTTCCGCTTGGCGTTGCTCTTCGGCGCGAAGAAGGGGTTTCGTGGTGTCGTTATGATGGACGCGGATAAATGCTCAGTTGTGGTTTCGTCAATGAGTCATCAAAGTCATAGCCAGACGACTGGCTCCATTACTCCACTGCCGCTCCAGTGTCAATGTATCGCTGTACTCCGCGGTGCGCCGGCTGTTTGCAAGCATCTATGCCTTGCTGCTGCTGGCGTGATTGCTCTCCGACACCTTGCCCTTATCTGATGCTCCGCCGTCATCATCATAAAGACCGTGATCTTCGATGTAGTTGACCACCTGCTCCGGCACGAGATATCTTATAGACATGTCTCTTCTCCGGAACAGACGAATCTTGGTGGATGAGATGTCGTTCTGGACCAGCTGTTGGATGACCCAGATGTTGTCCTGTGTCATGTCAGCATGCAGTAGCCACACCATGGGATAGCTGCGAGCAGAACGCAGGCATATGCGTGCTCTTGCTGCCCCTCCGCTCAGTAAGCAAAAGCACGTACCTTCCACTGCTGGAGTGTTGCCAGTGCCTCGTCGATGTCGGTGCCCGACCGCTCAACGATGAAGGCACCAAACTTGCCCAGAATGTAATCGATATCCTTGGCGGCCCAGACACCTGGTGTACTCATTGTCTGGATCAGATCTGCACCCGCTAGTAGTGCAATCCGACACTTCTTCCTGCCGTTTGGCGTCTGGACCCCTCCTATGACTTCGTTGATCTCATGCTCGAAATGATCCAGCACCTTGGCGGTCTCCAAGTATTCCGAATGCAGTGCCTCCCAAGGGTCTACACTGATCCAAGAAGACTGTTGTACGGCCAATGTGCACATGTTGATCCGATGCTCCGCTTTCACCAATCCCGTCTTCTTGTAGGCGTCGCCGACACATGACAGATAGGCTCCCACCACTTCGAAGTTCGTATTGAAGCGAGCGTAGTCGGCGGCCATTTCGAACATGCGTAGGTGAAGGAAGGTGAGGGGCGAGAAGGAGCCGCAAGCAATCAGCACGAGAGGCGTACGGTCCCCATCGCCCATGACTCTCCGTAGGCGCGAGGCCGGAAATTCGTATTCGTCAAGGGACATGTCTCCGCGCACGTCGTCCGCCATGGGCGGCAGTGGTGAGGAGGGTGGTTTGTCGAAGTCTATGAGTCCGGAGAGGGTGACTCGCGGTCGATGTTGGTCTGCAACAGTGGTGGTGTTGGACAGTCGAAGTAAACGTCGCTGCAAGGCGGGTGGTCTACTATGCGCGGACGAGGCGAGCCAACGGAATTGAGTAAGGCTGCGTGAAGGAAGCGACTGCCTGATACGGCACCCACGGATGGCAGCCTCCAGCGTCACTGTGCGACCAGAAAGAAGAAAGCAGCGCTCCAATGTGAAGGGTGTAGAGGACGAAGCGGTGACGGGAATGGGTTTGTTTTGTCGTGGAGTCGTGAGCAAGTGAGATGAATTACCAAGCCTCGTGCAGGGCCGCGATAGAGGTCTTGCCAATCGCCGAAGAGCAGAGTGGGGTCCGTCGGAGATGCGGCGGGAGGGTGAATGATTAGACGATGACTGTGCGATCACGTGCCAAGCAGCGTTCGAAGCTAGTAAGACCTCATCTGCTTGTCCCACTGCAGCGTCCTCTTTCATCCCCGCAACACTCTTACATCCACACACCACCACGCGGCATGGCCTGAGAAGATAGAAGAGTCCTACACCTCGTACAATGGCTGCTTCCACTCGCGTGTTGAGGAGAGCCTTCTGTGCCCATTCCGCTAGAGTGGTGAGGCGTCGCAGAGATTGGCAGTACAGGAAGGAACTCAAGTGCAGGGCGTGGTAAGGTAAGGTAAGGTATGCATTCGGTCGGTCGCAGTGGTCGGTACGAGGTAGGGCAATCGAAGGCTCGGTAGGGTAAGGCTCCGTAGGATATCAGGTAAGAGGCGACGACGACGACGATGCTTGGATGGTCCGGTCCTCCACGTCCATCGCTCCTTCCTCGACCAGCACTCGCCTTTCCTTTCATCAGGTACCCAAACAACAAACAAAACAATCTTCCAGCTTCAACGCACACTTCCCCTTTCGCTCACCTCCAGGCTGCCACCGGTGCATCTACGCCAACCACTCCATCCGCATCACCGCCCTCGACCACCCGATCATCATGTTCAAGACCGCCTTCTTCGCACTTCTTGCTGCCACCTGCTGCCCTGCGCAGTATGCTCTCCAGAGCAACTTCTCCGGCGCCGCCTTCTTCGACAACTTCGACTTCTACGACTCATGGGATCCGACGCTTGGATTTGTGAGTAGAAGCCTCTTCTTCAGGGCAGACGATTACTGACTCCACATGCCCCTTTGGTAGGTACACTACGTCGACCGCACGACGGCTCAGGCCTTTGGCCTGATCAACGCCAGCGAATCTGGTCCAGCAACCTTTGGTGTTGAGCACACGCAGATTCTAGACCCGTAAGTCAATGCCTAGGTAGAGACGGTTCGAGAGACGTTGACCGTGTGCACTATAGCGAAGCCAACTTGGGGCGTGCTAGTCTACGACTCATCTCCCACCAGACTTGGACGCATGGCTTGTTCATCCTGGACTTGGCTCACATGCCTGCCTCGCAGTGTGGTACTTGGCCTGCGTTTTGGACTGTTGGAGGGCCCTCGGAGTGGCCACAGAACGGAGAGATCGACATCATCGAATACACGAACACGAAAACCAACAACTCCATGGCTCTTCACACTAGAGAAAACTGCACCATCGCCGGCTCCGGCCAGACAGGCAAGCTTCTGACCAATGACTGCGGAAAGGACCTTGGGGTTGCTGGCTGCTATGTTGCTCCCAACAAATCGGATAGCGCTGGAAGCAGTTTCAACTCGATCGGTGGTGGGGTTTACGCCATGGAGTGGACCTCAGTGGCCATTCGGATCTGGTTCTTCCCCCGTCTTGCCATACCAGCAAAGTAGGTCCACGCTTGATCAACGTTCAGACTCAGCTAACGTCTCGCAGTGTGAGAAGCCCGAATCCTGACCCAGCACTTTGGGGGCTACCGGACGCCAACTTCGAGAGCAGCGACTGCGACATCGACTCGTACTTCTTCAATCACAGTATACTCTTCGATACGGAGTTCTGGTAAGTGCACCTTTCGCTGAAGTCGGCGGCAGCAGCAGTAGCAGCAGTCAGAGCAGCGCAAGAATGTTGGTTTGAACAGCTACTCACATCTAGTTTGCGTGCATAAGTGGCACCTGGGCCGGCCCAACATTCGTCGAGGATGCATGGTAAGTATAATGATTGATGGAATGCACCCCTCAGTCTGAAATAAAAGCTCACCTTCTGCCCATCTTTCAGTCCGGCTCTCAATCCCTCTAATCAATGGTCCTCGTGCAATGAGTACGTCGCAGCCAACCCCGAAGCATACGTGAATTCGTACTGGGCGGTGAACTATCTGCAAGTCTTTAGCACCATGCCCGGCACGCCCCCACCTCCCTCGAGCCCACTGGTCTCTGTTCTCCCAGCAGCAAGTACTACGTCTGTTACTGCTAGCGGCGCCGAGGGCAGATCGACTACTGCGTCTGGCACACTAGCTCCGCCGTCGACTTCTTCGGTCACGACTGCCACGTCCTCCACAACCTCATCGACTTCTCCAGCGACCATGACGAGTCCTTCGGCCATCCCGCCACCGGCGAGTACGAGCTCTACCTTCTCTACGAGCTCGTCGACGCCATTCTCGTCGTCGTCGACTACGACGTCTTCCACGAGCCCGCCTACCACAGCCTTGCCCAGCACTTCTGCAATCGACGGTCCCATAATTATCGAGACTACTACGGAGGTAGTTGTTTGGGTCACTACTACCGTTATGCAGGTGGATATACTTGTCAACGAGGGCTCGGCTACGCAAACGTTGGAATTGGGCTCTGACCCTTCTCCTGGCGTTACCTGGATTGGCTGAATGGTTTGGGAGGCATCCACGATACGGAAGTGTTGAAGAATGACGAAGCTCTGCGATAGGTAGGTAGCGGACATCAGCAAAGAAAGCACACCGTATCATGCTTTGAATTCTGGGAAAGATACCTGCGTCACGCTCCTAACGACTTGAGAAGGACAGTGAGCATCAAGAACGTCAAGACTACCACGTGAAGTAGCTTAGTCTCCGATGTCAGCGCCACGTTTCGGCTGAAGCGTGCCGCATGCCTACGTAATACCGTCACTTTACATGTTTGATCCGTCGGATGCTCGGCTGAAGATGAGATGGCGTTTGTGGGTGTAACGATTCTGCAGGCTGTTACCGGCGGGTGCCTGCCCGCAACAAACAACGCGAATCTTGCGCGCACGAGATGATCTTTCTCTTGATGTACACAACAATGTGCACAATGTGAGAGATGAGAGAGATGAGATGTCGTGTCGCATGCCGCTAATAATAATGATGCTGTTTCCTCAGATCATACATCTAGCAGCACGGTTCTCGAAGAAATTTCAGAAGGCAAAGAGTTAAGCAAAGTAAGGTAGTCAGTCTTTCTTGCTGCTGCTGCAGCGACAAAGAGCTCTCTCTCTCTCTCTCGTGTGTCCGGCGAACTGCACTGCCGTTTGGGAAATTCCTTTGACGAATAGATAATAATCACAAGAGAGATGGGAACAGGGAACAGAGAGCCATGGGACTGTGGTGGTTCGGGAAATTAAGGAGGAAAGGGAAAGGCGTCTGAGGTGATCTTCATCAAGCGAGACCAAGGGACTTGACACCTTGAGGTGCCGACTTGCCGACCTCAGGCTACCTATGCGGGAGCGCTATGGAAAGTCTAATTTCTTACATGTCTCGTCAAAGCAGAATATTCGCAGCGCAAGAATGGCCTGGACAGCCTCACATCGCGCCCGCATACCGCTCTTGCCGAATGGTATGAGTTCGCATCGAAGCCGTCTCCACACGATGCTTCCAGACTGAACCCAGAACCACCACACCCATCTATCAGTCGGTATCGGTAGGGTGCTTCTGGAGGCGATGCTACTATTGTTGTAGTGATTGAAGAGCCACGAAGCCATGATGTGTGTCTTGGTGCGCTGGTTGACGTTCAATAATTGGAGAGGAGGATCAACCAATCCTGGACGGATGTTCGTACATCACCACGGAGGCCTTAGTCTTGCAGGTTGGTTTGTTGTCGAAGACGTTGCCGGGCGGGTTGACACGCGATACTGTGTGAAGGTACGAGCACGGCGAACGCGAGAGTGCCGAGGGAAACCCATCTCGTCTCATCGCGCGCTTGCCACTCATCAGATGTCTCGCTTCCAAATCTTCATCACGAGAGATCGCGGTGCAGCTGATGAGATGTACCGCAGAGGGAGATGGGGGTGAAGAGAGAAAGAGACAGATCGTTGCCCAAAGTGCCGCCTGCTTGGGTGGATCGGATCGCAACGGCCAATTTGAGCATAGCCTGTGTAGCCGTGATAGGGGGGACGGCGGGAGCAGCCGCGGCGGGACGACCTCACCTTTCCTTTCCCCTGGCACAATGGAACCCTTCACAAACAACCGTTCATAAACAACCGTTCACAACAACCGTTTCCAACGCGCATGATCACTACAACGGTACACCCACCGCGAGTCTCCTCTGCCTTCCTCTCACAGGCCAACGGAGATTTCTTTCCCTCGCCAGCGACTGTGCTCTTCGTGGCGCCCACATGGCTGTGGAGACGGCTCGTCCATCACCTTCCCCCTCGAGACGTGACCAGCAATCCGTACGGGCGACCGCGAGGCCTTCATCATGCCGCTGTCTGTGGGCGGACCCAACTTGTCTGGCCCTCCGAGCCAAGGCAGCGATAGCTCACGGTCAAGAGTAGTCTGGCTCCCCGTTCCCACCCAATTCACCTTCCTTGCGCTCATCTTCCAGCTCGATGCCCCAGGGCACCTTTGTCCCCTCTACACCTTCGTAGTTGTAGGCTTCACTCGTTACGAGCCTGCAACCTACTGCCTCGCGCTCTCCTCGATCACTACCTTCAGTACTTCATTGTACTTTTCGTTCTTTCATTCTTGGCAGAGACTTCATCGATCATGAGGTCCGCCCTCTGGTCTGTCGCCTGCTTAGCCGGCAGCGTCTTGGCTGCTCCTCAATGGGGATCTAATGAACCGAACGCGCAAGGATATGAGGGAAAGGGCTTTGGTCATGAGCAGCCGGGCCACTATGGAGCAGAGCGGCCCTGCACTACCTGCACTGACGAGGAGGCCAAAGCGAATGTTGCGCCATCCAGCTACGCTCACCCCGAACAGGCGGCAACATCCTCCGCCCCTCCTACTCACTTCACTCACAGCCTTCCTGGCAGCTCGCCCTCATACAGCGCCGCGGCCGCCCCCGCCGAGTACCCAGAGACCAAGGTCATACAGATTACTACTATTGACCCCCCTGTCTCCTCAGTAACGCCCATCAAGCCCGTCGCTTCACCAACTGGCTATGCTCTATCCGAGTCCAAGTGCGCCGCCTACGATACGACCACTACCGAGATCACAGCAGTCTACGCTACTCCCTACCCCGGAACCTCCACCGACGCTCACGGTACGGCCCACACTTACGAGAGGACGTCGACCGTCACGTCTGTAAAGACCCTTACTATTGTCGTGTCCCAGCCAAGTGGCGTGGCCGGTTACGATTCAGGCAATGTTGGGTCCAGCAGTGAAGGTTCGGGCTCCCAAAATGGCGGATCAAAGAGTGGCAGCGCTGGCAAGGGAGCCTCAGACTCTCAGAGTGGTGGCTCTAGTAACGAAAATGGTGGCAACGATGGATCGAGCTATGGTGACTCTGGCGCTCTTTCCATTAGTAACACCGAAAGCCTTCTGGTAGAGCCTTCCCAGATCTGGACTACCATACCTTGGGGCACGACCCTGTTGAGCTACACTATCCCCGCGACCACATCCACGTCTAGCGTCAAGACCTCTGCCACCTCCACTCGATCTGTCACTGCTCCCGCTACCTACACCGGCTCTCCCACTAGCACTTGCTCGAAACCCACGGCGACCCCGATGGTGAACGGCACGTTTGAGCACTGCGTTCCTTGCGAGGGCCAACCCGGCAGCGACCCAGATAACTTCTGTGGATACACCATCCACGACAACTGGTACGAGGTTACTCCCAAGACTTGCCGCGTTAGGGAATATCACTTCGAGATGACCAACATCACCATTGCTCCCGACGGTGTTCCTCGCATGGGTCTCGTCATCAACGGACAACTGCCTGGACCGAAGATCGAGGCCAGCTGGGGAGACACCATCATCGTCCATGTGAAGAACAGCATGCCGAACAACGGCTCGACTCTCCACTTTCACGGCGTGAGACAGCATTACACCAATGAGATGGACGGTGTCCCATCGATCACTCAGTGCCCTATTGCTCCCGGCGACAGCTTGACCTACACTTTCACCGCCTCGAACTACGGATCATCCTGGTACCACAGCCATTTTGCGATCCAGACTTACGAGGGTATCTTCGGACCGATGACCATCCATGGACCTGCCGCCGAGGAGTACGACTTCGAGGAGACTGTCGTTGTCCAGGACTGGTCGCACGCAACCGTGGATTCGATGTACCAAGCTGCAGAGACTGTCGACGATGGTCCGCCTGACCCCGACCCCAATCACGGTCCTCGTACTCTCGATACTGGCCTCATCAACGGCATGAACATCTGGGGCAGCGATGAGGGCTACAACAGCAACGGCGCTACGGGCCAACGCTGGGAGATGAACGTCGTCTCTGGCAAGACCTACCGTCTCCGACTTGTCAACGCCGCCATCCAGTCGACCTTCAAGTTCTACATTGATGGCCACAAGTTTAAGGTTATCGCCAACGACTTCGTTCCTATTGTGCCATACGAGACGAACATTGTCAACATCAACATTGGCCAGCGCTACGACCTCATCTTCAAGGCTGATCAGCCAATCGGTAACTACTGGATGCGCGCTGACAACCAGAATGTGTGTGCTGTCATCACTGAGGCCTACAATATTAAGGGTATCGTGCGATACGTCGGAGCGCTTCCACGTGCTGTGCCGACCTCCACTGCTTACAATTACACTGTAGAGTGCGTTGACGAGCCGCTCGCTAGCTTGGTGCCAATCTTTCCGCTTAACGCCGGCCCTGCAGCTGATCAGACTATCGAGAAGACCGTCGTTGTCGGTGTCACTGACGGCACTCCACACTTGTATAAGTGGACCCTTTCCGGCACGACCTTCCAGTCGCAGTGGGGTGACCCGACTCTTTCTTCCATCGTCAACAACGGAACCGTTCCCGACTATTCTGGTAGCCTAGTCATTGAAGTGCCCAAACTGAAGGAATGGGTCTACGTATGACATGCCTATCCCCATTTGCTACGGACGTCTCACTGACATGCTCTTCTCTTTCACAGGTCATCATCGACTCCCCAATTCCTCTTCCCCACCCAATCCATCTTCACGGCCACGACTTCTTGATCCTGGCTCAAGGCTACGGCATGTACAGCAGCGATGTTGTGCTGAATACTGTCAACCCACCTCGACGAGACGTGGCTCTCATGCCTGCGGACCCAGTTGCACGCACTGGTGGTTATCTTGTCCTTGCATACGAGTCAGACAATCCTGGAGTGTGGCTCCTGCATTGCCACATCGGCTGGCACGTTGCCATGGGCTTCGCTCTTCAGATCGTCGAGAACCTTGATGGCATCCAGAAGACCGTGAAGGACTCATGCCAGGCCGAAGACACATGGTACGTATGACCGCCACATCAAGACATCCGAATGGTTGCTAACAACTGCTACAGCAAGGACTGGCACACCTACGCTCGCGACTTCAACATTCACGATCTAGACTCTGGTGTCTGAGCGACATCACAACACTCCTTACCTCCCGGCAAACCTCTTTGCCAATTTGTTCTCGATACCCACGCATGTTGTTTTGGGGAATCGACCGGAATTTGTTGTGCCAGCGGCGGCGCTTCATGTACAGTACAGTGTGACGGACTGACAGGACGTATGACGACTTGCCTTTTGATGGCAAATGTATAGAGTCGATCGAGGAAAGGTATCTGAGACGACAGTAATAGTAGTGCTACCGGCTTTTATCGATTGCTCCGGTTGTCCGTCGGTGGGATGTGGCCGTCTGTACTGGTCCGGACGCAGCTGCGATTCCGGTGGTCTCCTTCTTGGGTGTGCGTGTGCGTCGTACATAGTAGTAGGGGAATGAAGTGTCCCGATTGGAACTTCACATTGGAGCACTTAATGCGAACATGATATGCATCGACTTCCAATTTGCTTGCCTGGGCCGCGGTCAGATCACGAGCGTCTCATTCCTCCGCGCATTGTATACCGAAATAGGAAGTAGTGGGCATGTCGACGCTAAGCTGGATTAGTCGGGCGGAACGGGGAAAGCCTTGTTAGCTCCGCCCCGCTGGCGACAGGCATTCCTCCGTCGGTCTCATACTCTACAATCCTTCTGGGAGAACCATCAATCCGATAAGCGACAAGCGACACGCGAAAGCGGACCAGCAACGCGCAGGCTGCCATTTTCCCGCCGCGGCCATCATCTTCTCTCACATGTAACTAGATAAGTCGACCTCCTCCTCCATTGCCTTCGACGTCACCACTTTCATCCGCAAACATGGCCTACTCCTGGTGGCAGATGCTGGCCGTATCCTTCATCGCCACCACTCTACTTCAGAGAATCGCACCGGAATATTCTCTCGGCAGTATTGCCACAGTCTCTATCCTCTTTGCCTCTCAACTCCTCCTCTTGCAATTCTACCGGATCGTTCTCTATCAGCGATTCTTCAGCCCACTTCGCCACATTCCCCAAGCTCCCGGTGGCCATTTCTTCACGGGACAGACGCAGAAGATTATCAAAGAGCCTTCGGGGTATCCGATGAGAGAATGGGCTGAGAATGTGAGCAATAACGGCTTGATCCGGTACTCCTTCTTGTTCACCGAACGCCTGCTCGTCACTTCCACTGCGGCTCTGAGCGAGGTTCTGGTCACGAAGAATTATGACTTCGTCAAACCGCCGCAGGTCCGGCATGGACTGGGCAGAATTCTTGGTGTAGGGATTTTACTGGCCGAGGGCGATGAGCACAAGACGCAGCGCAAGAATCTTATGCCTGCATTTGCCTTTCGGCATATCAAAGATATCTATCCGACTTTCTGGAAGAAGTCGCAGGAGATGGTGGAATGTCTGGCCGAGGCTGCGAAGTCGGATGTTCTTCAGTCTGAGAAGGAACGATCGGTGCCTGAGGCCGGGGAGGCTGAGGAGAAGCATGAGCCCGGGACTGTCAATGTTGGCAACTGGACGAGTCGTGCCACGCTTGATATCATTGGTCTTAGTGGTATGGGACAAGACTTTGACTCGCTTCACAACCCGGATAACAAGCTCAATGCCTACTACAAGACCGTCTTCAGCGCTGGCGGGCCTCGTGCACGCCTTCAGATGCTGGCTTTGATCTTGCCCTTCTGGCTGGTCTCTCGGATCCCCTCCAAGCGCAACCGTGAGATAATCGAAGCTTCGGGATATATCAAGAAAGTGTGCAGGGATCTCATCGCGAAGAAGCGCGAGGCCATGAACTCGGAAAAGGGCAGGACGGAGGTCGATATCTTGTCCGTGGCTCTGGAGTCCGGTGGTTTTACCGACGAAGACCTGGTCAACCAAATGATGACTTTCCTCGTGGCTGGCCACGAAACGACCGCTACGAGTATGATTTGGGCTATTTACGAACTCTGCAGGCATCGCGAAATCCAGCAAAAGCTACGAGAGGAAGTTCGCGCCAAGATTCCGTCGCTCGACTCAGACATCACGGCCGCACAGATTGACGATCTTCACTATCTGCAGGCATTCTGCAATGAAGTTCTCCGTCTCTGGGCTCCGGTGGGACTCACGCTACGACATGCGGCAGTGGACACGAGCATTCAGGGCGAATACATTCCCAAGGGCACGCTCGTGGTCATGTCGCCACGTGCCACCAACTGCTCAACAGAGCTCTGGGGTGACGACGCGCGAGAATTTCGACCGGAACGATGGCTCAACGAGGACGGCAAAGCCAACGCGAAGGGAGGCGCGGATTCCAACTACGCTTTCATGACTTTCCTGCACGGCCCTAGGAGTTGCATCGGGCAGAAGTTCGCACAGGCTGAATTCGCGTGTTTGCTTGCTGCCTGGGTGGGCAGGTATGAGTCGGAGTTTGAACCGGGCAGTGCCATCTCGCGCGGCGAGTTTGAAATTCAGGGAGGCGTCACGTCGAAGCCGAAGGGTGGCTTGTGGTGTAAGCTGAGGGAGGTGCCTGGATGGTAACGGAATGGATTCAGGATGGGCCCGTAACGTTACATTGACCTTTCTGCTTCCCGTGTATATGATGTTTTCTTGAACGACTCGAAATGCCATTGATGCCTTGCGAGCCTGATTTTACTTCGCTTATCGTTATCACAGAATAATCACAAACCGAAATCGAGTCAGGTTTCGACTCGGCTATTGTCGCTATGGTTCTTATGTCTTATGCGGCCACAATGATCAGATGGCCCACAGCTCGTGTTTCAATCTCGAGTATTGTCGCTATTCTTCCTGTCCGGCGACAATTGGTAGAACCAGTACGAGTTCAGCCAACAATACCAAAAAACTGGAGCCCGCTGTTCATCTCGAGTATTATCGCCATTGTGGTTCTTCGGCCACAATCGGTAAACACATCACGGGTCCATTTGAAGCTACTGGTCACAATGGCTTCGCGACAATAGCAAACATCAAATTTCTCCCCTTCAGGGCTCCCAACGACAATAGCCACGTCGAATGGGTCATTCTCTCAATAGGCACTCTGATCAGCGAGTCACTCGCCTATTCACCAGGCGTGACAATAGCAGGGAAGCAGATACAAGAACTTCGTCCTTCTCTCCTCTTCCTTCCTGTCTCTCCTTTTCTTTCCTCTCCAGAGAAACACACACTCGAGTACACTCGCGCAGACTGCTCAGAGCTTCCACCAACTTGTCCTCTTCTACCACAACCAACCCTCACCACCTTGACCGCAGAAGATCTGTTCTCCCACACAGTACGACTGTCATACATCGGCAGCAAACAGCAGTTGCCAGCTCATCGACCAAGCATACTCAACACGCGGCCCGTTCTCGAGTACGCCAATCCTTCGCCATTCACCACCAGGTTCAAGTGTCCGGAACACAGAAGAACCGTCCATCCTCTCAACACACAACAGCTCTTGAATCTACCACTCTTCCCCGGCCAAGTCTACCAATCTTTCCTGACCAAGTCTTCCACTCTTTCCCGACCATGTCTACCACCGACAAGCCAACCACCCGCACCACCGCCAACCGCACCGTCATCAAGCAATTCGAGAAAGACGACAAGGTCAAGACTTCCAAATGCAAAGTCTGCGGCAAGCGTGTCACCAAGTACTCCCAGCGCTGCGGAGCCTGCGGTATCCGTATCTGTCACGAATGCCTCGAACCCGACGGCACGAGCGTCTCAGGCCACAAGGACATGGCTGATGACTACGTCAACCACGGATGTTGGTGTGGTTTCCGAAGCAAATTCAACCCGGCTTTCAGCGGCAAGATTCCCGTCGTCCAGAAGCAGCCGAGTGTCAAGAAAGAAAAGAAGGCCGAGTCCTCCTCTACCTCCTCCTCCACTGCGCAGCAGCAGAAGGTTCCCCAAGAAGATGGAGTTTCTCCTGCCAATGGAAAGGTCGCTGTCAATCTCAATCCATCCAACAACGCCGGAGAAACATCCAAGCCCAAGCGCAAGCGTAGCACCGAAGACAGCAGCAAGGCCCCCTCTCCGAAGCGCCAGAAGAATGCCAAACAGCAATCGCCAGCAGAGGCCCGCCTCGCCCGTGCACTCGAAATTTTGGCATCAGAAGACTACGAAGACGGTCTCGACCGATTGCCAAAGAAGCCCGCTCCGCGTGCCGCAGCCAAGAAGCCAGCCGTCGAGAAGAAGAAGTCGTCCAGCCAGAATCCGTCCTCTTCAGACCTCTCCTCGCCTCCCAGCCACTCCAGCCAGGAGAAGTCCGCTCCCGCTCCCGCCGCAGCCAAGTCAAAGCACATGCGGAAGCCCAGCTCCACCGCCAGAGCAGGCCGATCCGCAGGCCCACCAGTCAGCCAAGAAAAGCCGAATGAGGGCATAGTCATCATCGGCGCTGGTGTAATCGGCCTGTTCACCGCTCTCGAGCTGGCGACAAAGGACGCTACCGCTGGAAAGGCACCCCGAATCACCGTCGTCGACGTCAACGACGGGATCTGCTGCCTCGCGTCCGGCCACAGCGCCGGGGTCCTCTCTCACCGCGGCCTGGACGATGGCCTGCTCCCGCTGGTGGACGCCGCTTACGCTCGCTGGGCCAAGCTCTTCGACGAAGAAGACGACTTCTTCGACCTCGTCGGCTTGGGGCGCATGGACCAGGCGGCCGAAGACGAAGATCACTTCGGCCACCTGGACCCTCTGCGCCTGGCGAAGTGGCTTCACCAGCGGTGCGAGGCTCTGGGAGTGGCCTTCCGTCTCGCCAGCCATCCCACGGCAATCGTCCGCAACGCTGGCTACCAGGTGACCGGCGTGTGCGTGAAGGGGGCCAATGCCGTCGGGAGCAAAGGACTGGTCATCCCATGCTCGCAAGTCGTCCTCGCGGCAGGCCCCTTCACGCCGGCCCTCTACCAGCACCTCTGCCACGGCGACGCTGCCCTTCCGCCGACCGAAGTGCAACAGGCTCACTGGGTCGACCTCCCGATCTCGAAAGAGACGTTGGCTTCCAAGCCGACGGGAGCCCTCTCCATGGCTCCTCAGGAGACGCCCGGTGGCGAGAAGGTCCTCCGGCTGGCCATGTGCCTCGAGTCCACCGGCACCAAGGTGGACACGACCAAGGCCATGCCGCAAGGCCAGCCTCGCTGGAAGGAGAGCATCGCCGGCAGATTCCGACAGGTGATCGAGCGGCACGTCCCCGCGGCGGCTGCTTTGCCCCTGGGGGCCCACGGGGCTGCCTATGTTAGTACGGGGCCAGTATTGGCCGCCCGTGGGCAGGTGTATCTTGCCTACGGGTTCGGCTTTCATGGCACCACGTTGGCCCCCGGGGTGGGGGAGTTCATCGCGCAGAAGATGCTGGGAGAGGCAACCGCTGTCTAATGCGAGTGAAGGGGCGGGCAGAGCGAGAGAGACTGTAATGGCACAGGAGTTTAGTGTCTGTTTTTTTTTTTCGAGATGAATCGGCAGTCTTTCAATTTGATGCTTTATGTTTATACCACTTCACACTTCAAGTTCGTGACGACATTGCCCTCCGTGGCCCGCGAATACGGGCAGACCGTCTTCGTCTTCTCCACCAGCTTCTCCAGATCCTGCTTGCTGATGCCCGAAGCCTTGATGGTCATATCCACTCGAATCCCAATATCCAGCTTCTTGATGTCCCCAATGAGATGCACGTCCGTGTCCGCGACGACGCCGTCGGGCAGCTTGATTCCCAGGGAAGGAGCCGTGGCTCCCATGGCTCCCACAAAGCAGGCTCCGTATCCCGCCGCGAAGAGCTCCTCCGGGTTCGTCTTGGCGGGTTTGTCCTGCGGCATGCCCAGGTCTACGTTGAGAGCTGGGGCTTTGACGTGGCCTTGTCGTCCGCCTTTGGCTTCGGCGTGGGCGGTCCAGAGGGGCGCGTCGGTTGCCCAGTTGAGGAAGCGTTGCGTGGGTTGAGTGCGGGTGTAGCTTGCCCGGGAGGCATTGCGGAGGATGGGCTGGAAGCGTCGGACGGCGGCCATTGTTGGTATAGCGATTCGCTTGATGTCGATGCTGGATGCGCTGCGAAGGAGTGATGAGATGGAGAATGCAGTGAATAGATCCGGTGGCCCGACAGCGAGATAGCCTAAGGTAAGAACGGAGAGAGCTCCCTGGCTCGGTGACGTCAAATTCGTTCACTCCAATTGAGTTTGAAGCTAGTACGCATCGAGAAAGGACTGCCGGGCCTTGCGGCATTTTGCTCGTCATACCGTGCCATGTGTCCTTTGACACGTGGATAGCAGACAAGATGGTAGTTGCGCGATCAAAGTCGCATTGGTTGTAGGAGTGTCTTCACGACGTTCGAGGAACCCGGCCGATCCGAGTGCAACTATCGGAGGAAAAGAGATGGACAACGGTGGAAAAGCCAGCGGAGGTCTGACGAGCATCGCATTGCATATGCTTCTTCGATATCTTCGCAAGTGAACGTAGATTGATAAGCGACACTAGCACGTGATAGATGCAGACACATTAGGAGACTGGCCAAGGCAATCCTGTTAGCTTAACCTGTAATTAGTGAACGGTTCGTGAGCGCGATTCGCAGTTCACTGGAGAAGGAAAGGGCTGCTGCTTGTTCACGACTCGTGCTGACATTGACGTCCGTCTCTAATTCGCCCGTCAAGGAGAGTCGCCTTGCCCAAGGTGATCACCTGTGATGAGCTGGGGTTGCTACTTTGCAAGAAAGCTCCAAGCAGGTTCTAGAGCAAAGGTAATGCCGGAGACTGATGTTGACGACCAGATGAGCGTCTTCGTCTTTCGTTTATATATCTAGTGCGATCCTGCCCTGCATGACGAGATTAGTGCCCATGATAGCAGAAGCCGCCATCACCAACCGTGGCATAAAAAGCCTGGCAATGATTAGTGCTTGACCTAGACGGCCCGCGAATCGCCAATGTGGTGCAATTGATACACAGCGTTTCTTTCTACTGCGGCATGAAGATGGTGACGGGGGCCGCCATGCCTCTTGAATTTCATCTCTAATAAGTTCCTGTCTGCCGAGTCCTCTGCGCAGTTTGATTTGTTCGACGTAAGCTGGTCTTTAGCGTCTCTAGGGCTTAGTGCAGTCTCCGTGGTAGCCAGGGTTTGACCTGACTGAAAGATTGTTAGACAACTTGACTGGCAACTGTTGCTCTCTTCCGCCTCCGGAGAAGCGCCGTACGTCCTTGCCTATGTATCGCAGGGCTTCAGATAGGTGCTGACGAGCCCGAGAATTCGTCAACTAAGTTTCTGACTTCTGAAAATTCTCCTCTCATTTACTCAGATAGTGAGCCGCATCTGAGCCTGCGTGATACGGACACCCAGAACATCGGCTCGCCCTGAGCTGCGACGAAGCCAAGGGGTAAGTGGTCGTGAAGACTCTTTGCTCTCGGCGCTTGAGTAAGTCGTTGTTGCTTGCCTTGCGGTGGTACTAGCTGCCAGGGTCTGTTGACCAATGTCCACATGCAGTTCAAATTCGAATGTTACAAACGACGCGCACCTATGCCTGTAGTGTCTGACGGACCGGGTCTTGCTCCTGCTTGGATTTCGATGATCGACGGGTAACTTCGTTGTGGCCTTGCCAGATACTGATCTCGGAAGCCATGGAGTTCGAAAATCCGAGGAGTGACATGAGCGGCGAAAGAGATGCATTCTTTCGGGGATCCCAATGGCAGTGATGTCTTGAAATCTAAGCAAGCCACCTTTTGAACTACTACGCTGCTGTCGCTGTGCGCACCTCCTCTTTCGTCCTTTTCGCAACATCTTCTGGGTTCTTTATCTCGGTCATCTGCCCTCTCTTGGCCACCTGCCTGAGATGAAGGCCCGCCGTGACGCCCATGATGATGCCACCAAGATGACCGGCATGGTCAATGTTTGCTAGTTGACTAGCATGGCGAGCAGTTGTCTTGAAGCCTCGAAGAGCAGCGAAGGCTTCGCCTGCTCCGAACATAGCCAAGAAGACCCATGCGGCAATAGGGATCTCGTAACCGAAGACCTTGATGGTACTGTTCGGCTTCAGCGTACAAGCAGCTGCTAGAATACCGAGTATGCATCCTGACGAGCCAATGATGTATGTGGTCCATTGCTTGCGAATTACATTGTACAATAGGGCGCTGTATGATCCAAACACACCGGAAGCCAGATAAATTGCGAGGAAGTTTCCGCGCCCGACCTCTTCATGGAGGAGTAAGCCAAACAGCCAGAGGGACACCAAGTTCCAGCCAAGATGTTGGAACGTGTCATGTCGAAACAGCGCACCAACCAGACTCACCGCATAAGGATATGCCGGAACAACCGTCATGTACTTGCTGGAAAAGCGGTACAGAGGTGGCCAGCGGCCTAGGATGAATGTCGCACATAGAATACCCGTGAGGGCTAGCATTGTCGCAACAGAAGGCGGAGTCTCAGGCCATAAGCGAGCAGACTGGGGCGGAGGAGTGTAGTTCTCGCTCAAGTAGTAGCAACCGCCTAGTACGAGCAGGAGCATGAAAAATGGTGGAACCAGTCGTCTGTATATACTCAGCTGAGGAACAACATTGTCCTTGATGATCTGCGCTTGCTCTTCGTAGTAGTCGATCCAGGGCGACTTGCCACTAGGCTGCGTGAGCGTTGCGTGATTGACCGGCCGCTTGATAGTGATACCAAATGGGCCCCTGATTTCGGCATTCTGTGTCATTTCGGTGTTGATCAGAGGCTGCACACGACCAGCGAGCTCCAATGGGCCCCGAGCAGCATGGATCGCATTATCGGCGTCTTTCTGTTTCTGTACCTCCCTGGCAGCCTCTTCGAGCTCCCAGGCGGCCTCATTCGCCTCACGTGTCTGCCGCAGTATACTTGTACCAGTCTTCTCGCGTCCGTAGCTCGTGCCCTGGTCTTCTTCTTCTGCCGCATATTGGTCTTGCTCCTCAGGAGTGGCTTTGTAGAAGCCCAATTGCACAGCGCGAGCGTGTATTTCCTCTTGACTTCGCTGGATCTCCTCCTCTGCCCATCGCTGACCGTTTTGATTTTCATCGACGTCTGGTACCACCGATCTGACGTAGTTGAGCCCCTTCAATGCCATGTCGCGGTCCACACCCATCTCTTGCGGGAACTCCAGCCCCACGTCTATGAGTGCTCCGGACTGGCGCCTCCAATGCATGACGCTCAATATGTAGTTTCCCATATCCGCATCAATATGCTCGCTGTTGAAAATCGCATCGATCTGGCTCTGACAGAGCTCACCTTGGGGTAGTGGCATCCCTGCAACCGGGTCGTAGTCGCGCCATGTCAGCGGTTCTTCTGCGGTGGATGGGAGGCCTTCGGTATGCGATGCGACAGTTGGCGCAGACTGAACTCCAGAGGGAGAAGTAGGCGCCTCCTCTTCCTTCAAGTTCGCAGGTTGAGAGGTACGCTTTCCACGTTGCTTCTCTCTACTCTGTGCCTGAAGACATAAGGTCGTTGATAGTAGCCGGTCTCGCTGTCCAAGAAATGAGGCTCTTATTGATGCAGAATTGCCTGGTCGCGCGATTGTGGGCGAGTTCTGGCTGTAAAACCAGCTGCGCCGTGCACGTCCATTAGGTACGCTCTGTGAAGCGTATCGGGCGTATCCATTGAACAATTGCACCAGTGGCTTCGATCGACTCCGTCGCACGGCGCATGGCGCTGCGAACGCTATCGCGGACCAGACATTGCTCATTGCTAGGACATGCGGCTTTCCGATGAAAGATTGTCCAGTTCAATCGCCCTCGATGGCAGTGTTCCTGATGAGGACTCAACCTCAGACAAAGTGCGGAATTGCGGCGCGTCTCGGTGGTGCTCGAGCCTCCAACTCCATCATATGTCCATGCAGTGTGTTAGCGACGTGGGCTTGGTGGGGTCCTAGCAACAGCACTACTACTACTACCAAACATCAATCCAACATGTCTTCAAATACGCACGAGCTCCCCAGCGACGTCTTCCAGCCCATCCCCGCCTCCCGCGTCATATCATCTGAATCCTTTGCGGAGGCTATCAAAGACTTACCTCTCGACACCCTCTACGCAAAAGCTGCCGAGCTCCAAAACAGCATCTCCCATCTCCTATCCAGCAACATTCAAATGAAACCTTTCGCAGACGAAGGCGATCGAGATTGCGTGGAAGCGATCGAGGAGAATGATGTGGTGATTAAGAGGCACGAGGAGAGGATCGAGTTGTTGAAGGTGGAGGCTGAGAGGAGAGGGTTGGCGTGGAGTAGGCATGGGGATAATACGGAGGAGGTCGTGCCGAAGACCAATGGAGCTACACACGAGGAAGCAAGTGGAAATGGGCGGCTTACGGATGAGGAGTTGAGGAGGAGGTTGGAGGAGCAGATGAGCGATACGGTCGGGGAAGATGACGAAGATGGCGTGCATCTGTGAGGAAAGGCGGCACTGAGGAACACGATACGAATCTATCTTCGGTCGACATCCACAAGACCTTGGGGAAGCAATGATACTGCCTAGGCTTCCAGACCAGCCTAGAGAGGGACGTCGCTCTCATAGAGCATCTGTCCTGCGGACCCATCTGAGAGTCTGTAAGGCAATGAGCAGTAGCACGCGGCCTGATGAGCGTGTGGCTGTCGGACAACAAGAGCAAGATCGCAGCAGGAAGATTGCTGGCGTTCTGTCACATCTCGCTCATGGTCCAAGAAAAACACGGGAGATAACTTGAAGGAAAAGTCGCGAGATTTGCCATCGACACAACGAGAGACCGTAGAGAGCATAAATCGTCTGGTCCTTACAATATCAGAGACCTGTATTAATATCCTACAATACCAAAAACCCACCAACCATCACCGCAATCCCCAAAACAAACGCAGCACTTGCCCTCAAACCTCCAGCACCACCGTAAGCAGCCCTGCCCACACATTCATGACCTCTCAACCTACTATTCTGCTCAATCGGCCTAACCGCGACCCTTTTCACCGAGTAAGGAACCGTACTACAATTCCCATCCGCAGCCGTGCAATTCCACTGAATCCAAGACCAAGACCCCGAACGACAGTCCTGTCCACGAGTAACACACCCTTCATTCGCAGCCTCCTGTCTACAATTTTCCCCATTGTACTTTTGCAATGCTACCGATCCGAGTATGTGGTCTTGAATCTGAGAGGGCAATGTCGATTGATCAGCAAAGACTTATGAGTAATTGGTCCTGGAATTATAGTTGGAGTTCCCATCTAGGCGGAATTGTAAACCGCAATCGTCGTCTTCGCTGGAATCACAGAAAGAGCTGGTCGTTGTGTATGTGGTGGTTTCTTTGCGGTAGGGAACGAACTCGTTCGTTCCCTTTGGGTGGGTGAAGATGTCGGGTAGTGACAGAAATGTTATGGTGTTGGGCATGTCGAGCACGGAGAGGGTGGTGGCGTCGGTTGACTGGGAACTTCCTTGCTCGCATTGGTCTTTCGAGTCGCTGCAGAAGGTGACGTCCATGTAGAAGCTTCCTGACAATGTGTTGCTGTTCAAGGCATTTTGGGCGTTTGATAGGTCTGGGAGTAGTAGAGCTGTGGCCGCTGGTACAGGGTAGTGCAAGAACGATGTGGTGACTTTAATTGCGCCTGCTAGACTTCTCGTTGCGGCGACGGTATATGGACTTGAGCAACCGTAGTCCACATGAGCGGTGTCGACGAGCAGCACCCCTACATTTAAGTACGCCCTCGGGACTTGCTAGAGCAAACCACCGGTGAATCCATTCCTGTAGGGAGGAAGGGATCTGAAGCCGTGACATATGTATATCGCCAACAACTGTCACCGTGCGAGAACTTCCGCTAGATACTGATGGGTGTTTCGAGGTTGCTGGTGTTGTGCAACGACTGCTGGCGATGCCAAGCGAATAGACGCTGTGAAGGATTCGCATGTACGTCTGCCAAGCGTTGGGTCCTTCTGCGGCCACATGCAATGCAGCTTTGTCTTCACCATACTGTTGTCTGTATCAGAGACACGGTAACGTCAATTGTCGCGAAGCGTTGAAAAAAGTACCTGGTCAAGCCCAGCGATCCGGTGCGTCTCCAAGCTGTGTTGCTCGATCGAAAGAGCTTGTCTTTGGTCCATAGGGCTCTCGAACTTGGCCACCATGAGTTCCAGTGTAGGCTCAGAATAGTGCGTCGACATCCCTATGCGCTGCTCGACTCCTTCAAAGCTCGAGAACAAGTCGCAAGACAATCGCTATCCCCTGGTGTCGTTGCGAAAGGATTCCTTGAAGGCACGATAGGATCCAGTGATATGCGTCTTGATTTTCACAAGGTCGGTGCTTGATGCACTCTACTCCATTCCCTCCATTAAGCTGACCCGGTCCAACATCATGCCGCGAACACCGACCCATTCTCTCAAAGCTTCCCACTCTTCCCCTTCCTCTTCACCTCGCTTCGCGACATTTCTGAATCCCCACGCTCCAGCTACTCTGTCCACAGCTGCGCGTTCTTCCTCACGGATCCATCTCTCCCAGAGCGGTACTCCACTAGCCCAGGTGATACGGTCCATCTGGTCGTTGGCAGTCGTTACAGCCACATAGCCCACCATACCTACAGCACCAGCGTACGTCATGATGCCGGCAAATGCAACTTGAGTTGCCATGGCAGGGTCCATAGTCTGCTGGAGGGAAGAAAAGGAAGTGGCGAGGGTGTAAGCCGCGGCGGGTGCGACAAAAAGACCGGCCATTGGAAAGGCTGCTTGTCTCAAAATCTTCGCCTTTTTGAATGCGGGAGTACAGAAGGAGGTTGTGATTATGTCGATGGCCAGTGGGAGGTCGTGTACGTCAATCGAGGCGGTAAGGGCCGCATTCGCAGTGCTAGAATCGATGGCCGCGTTGATCTTGTCAGGAGAGACAGGCGTGTATTCCACTTCATGTGTGGATTTCAGCTTAGGCGCGGGCTTCCGAGCGTAAAGATCGAAGACATCCGGAAAGCTAGAAGGCTGGGAAAGGAGAGACTGTAGCTGAACATAGAGCTTGAGGATGGCGGGTGTGATGAAGACGTCTGGGTGTCGCACAATCTCTTCGGCTTTCTGACTGATCAAGACCAAGATGCTCGTCTTGGAGATGAAGGCGGGATATTGCGTGGCATTAACGCTTCCGAGTAGAGCTGACGTAGCCGTCTCTTGCTGCTTGGAGCCGGCACTGCTTGACTTTTGCTTTTGTTCACGGTGCGCGTTTGCGGTCTCGGGGAGTCGCTCGTCGAGGATGGAGCGGGCTATGGAGCTCAATTGCTCAAACACGTAGAGGAGGCGTTGTTCGGACGGTAGGCTGCCATCCTCGATCTTGATTGCAGACGCGGATAGATCATTGACGCGGCGAAGGAGGGCATTGAGGTCGAGGGATCGCGCCGGGGCGGACTGTCCACGCGGTTCGGATGCAAGACCTCGGCGTTGTGTTTGTGAGTCCGCAGTAAGGCGTTGTGAGTCCACAGCAAGACGTCTTGAAGTCTGTCGCGGTATTGATCGGCGTGCTCTCGACGAAGATGGATTGGTCTGATATGCCGGTGCTGTCAAGGAGTGGAATTGCTGAATGAGAGGGCGGGCAATGCGTCGAGCGTTTCGTGGTTGGCGCAGTAGAGAGAGGCAATCCCGGCAGACCGCTGCTGGCCTCAATTCCATGGTGAAGAGACGCGCGCGGCCGGTGGGTGTGTGGTTGATCCGATGCGTTGATGAAGAAACAGAGATATGCATACACCCGAGGTATACTTCGTATCGGTAGTAGCCGCGGAGGATGGCCGCACCTTTTGCTGTACCTGTGGCGTCCTGAGGCTGACGCGAGAGGCTGTGCAACGGAGTGACGAACACCCGCAGGCATCTCCATACAACCACCACCTGCACTCTCTCCATCCACATTTTACAGCTTCTTCAACTATACCAACTGTACCAGCTCTCACCCGAACCAATCCGGTCTTGTCACCACTCTCGACTATTTGCGAAGGGGAGCCCTGACTGCCATCACATGCTCGAATCCAGCAATTGAACACACCCGGAGCAGACGTCAGGAAACGCGCCGAGATGCCGGCACCACCACCACCTCCACCACCTCCGCCGCCCATGCCTGCAGCAAGGGGAGGTATGTGTTGCGAAGAAGCAAGGCCTAGGAGATGCGACAGACATTGACCAAGACAGGCCCTCCGGTTCCTCCTGCTCCCCCACCGCCGCCTGCGAGCCTGCCCTCCAGACCCGGTGCGAAGCAAGCAAAAGGAAGAGTATGTACAGAGTCGAGTGCACAACAGTTCGAGCAGGCTATCTGTTGCTTGGATCAGAGGGTATGCTGACGATGCTATGATCAGGGTGCTCTGCTAGGCGACATTGAAAAGGGAGCGCGATTGAAGAAAGTCACACAAGTCAACGACCGATCAGCACCCATTATCGACAAGCCCAAGGACTCGGGCGGTCCGCCGATGGGCGGCGCTCCTCCTGTTCCTGGATTGCGACCTCCTGCCGGTCCAGGTGCGAATCGAGCGAGGAGCAACAGTGATCAGCCTGCCAACCCGGCCGCAGCGGGAGTCATGGAGCAGGCACCGCAATTGGGAGGATTATTTGCTGGTGGAATGCCCAAATTACGGAAAAGCGCTGGAGGAGTCAACATGTACGACTCAGATCCTGAGACCAATTCAAGGAAAAGCCCGCCTCCCGCCAGACCACCAGCTGTTCCAAACGGTGCTCCTCCACGACCGGGCGGCGCACCGCCGGCACCACCTCCTGCTCCACCGGGCGTAGCTCCTATTCCACCTTCCGTTGCTGCGTTGAAGAGCCATCTAAGACCGACGAGCGCTCACTCATTACCTGAGATTACTGGCGCAAAACCAAAGCCTCCTCCGCCCATTGGAAAGAAGCCTCCAATCCCACCTCCTGCTGGGCGCAAACCTTCTGGATTGACCACGGCTTCTACAACATCATTGCTAATGCCTTCTCAACCTCTTTCGCGCCCATCTTCAAGTCCAGCACCCCAATCTGCGCCTCCCTTGCCTCCTCTACCACCCGGCGGCGCACCGCGACCCCCATCTGCACATGTGAATAGAGCAGCACCTTCGCCTCCTTCAGCGCCACCTGCTCCCCCACCTCCTGCGCCTCAGAAGCAGACATCAAACGTGCAAGACGACGAAGAGTACGACCCCTATCGATATGATCAGAATCAAACATCTCGGGGGGTACCTCCGGCTCCTCCTCCACCACCTCCACAAGTAAACGGGCACAAAGAACCGTCGCTTGCTGCGCAGGCAGCTCGGAATGCTTTCGGAGCCAACAGAACTGCAAGTCCTGCTGTGCCTCCGCCTCCCCCACCTCCTGGCGCAGCGTCGAGCAGACCAACTACATCACCATCACCGGGACCTCCTTCTGCTCCGCGGCCTCCACCAATCTCGCGGAATACATCGCAGGTTCCGTCTGCTCCACCTCCTCCGCCCGCGCCCAAAGCGAGCACTCCAGGTGGTATCCCCACGGCGGGTGGCGTGAGCGTCGGAAATTCAGGCACAGCACCCATGACGAATGGAAGGTCACGAGCAGACTCAGACGCCCTGAGAAGCGGTAATCTGGGAGGTCTTGGTGGCACTGGAGGAAGCTATGCTGGAGGTGGAGGGCGATATGTCGTTCAGGACACTAGATTCAAATTCCAGGACGACGGGCAACTGCCAAAACCAAGAGATTTCACGGGAGGACCGAAGAGATACCGAGCGGGCAGAGGAAGCAGTGTGCCTTTGGACTTGAAAGCTTTTGATTGAGACGATGGTACATTGTTGACTTTGCGAAGTGTCACCCTGAGGTTCAAAGTTATTGTATACTACTTGACTTGCGTTCAAGCGGGCTTTGGGTACGTACCCATGTTCATCATATGGGACCTTGTGTATAGATACGTGAAGAAGAGGATACGAATGTTTCAAAGATGCTAAGACATTCTTCTTAAATCTTGTTTCTCGTGAAGTTTCACAACACTCGTATTCACAACTATAGTGATGATACTGACAGCTTGTTGGCCTCTTTTAAGGAGTGAAGTGAAATCATACGTCCAAATTAGGCCTAGTCAAAGTATTAGTCGCTTACCAAAGCAATGCTGGCCGAATCCCGACCTTTCGCTGTGTTTTGCTGAGACAGAGACTGCTATTGACAATCACCCCATCTCGTCCCGTCTATTCTGCATTTTGAATGTTGCATCGGACAAAGGTTGCTACCCTACTGTAAATTCATCCTCAGAGGGCTGGTCTTGCAAATACTGGTGCTTGCATCCAGACTCAATCAATCAAAGCCGACCCTGTGCGTCCACCGGGAGAGCAACTGGATCGTTATTGAGACTCTGACCTCTTCTTAGCTGTTGAACCAATGATGGCGCAGTAAATGCTCAGCCGTCGGTCGTTTGTCAGGTTCACACTGGAGAATCTCTCTGATCAGATCCGTAATCACTCTGCCTTCCTCTTCATCAATGTCATCCGGTTTGTTGCGATCGAATTGCGCTTCTAAAGACTCGTTGATGAAAGGTTCCTCGGGCATATCATCCTGATCCGCCATGGGTTCATCGTCGTCAAACTCTACGGAGTCCCCAGGCGCTTCGACTTGTCCAGGCTCTTCAAGGTCTTCTGGGTCCTCAAGCTCGTCATCGCCGTCGGAATAAGCGTCCATGCTGACGTCCTCGCGAGGCTGGAGCCGCTCGCCTCCGGGACCGATCCACCTGTCACGCCGTGTCCACTTTGACATGAAGCGCTCCGGTAGCGGTCCGATCACATCGGTCAAGTCCAAGATATGATCATCATCTGCATCATCTTGCTCATCATCCCCAATCAAATCGACAGCGAACAGCCGCGTCCCTGTGACGAATTCGTAGACTAAGCATCCGAAGGCCCAGATATCGATTGCAGAACCAAATGGAGTCTCGTTGAATATCAGCTCTGGAGCTCTGAGAGCCACAGGAGTGACGGTATAAGGAGGTGGAGCGTTGGCATAGAATGCTAAAGAAAGAATTAGCTTCGTCCCGGCGGTTTTGAAAGGTCTGAGATGAGGTTGGGCGTAACTGAGCCGAAGTCAGATAATTTCGCCGAGGCCGAAGATCCAATATCCACATAGCCGTGCAGTGATTGACCTAATGCGAGATACTTTGGCGCCCAAGGATCCAGTTTGCCATCAAGCCGACATAACGGCTCCGATATGGTGCTTGGATCCTGGCATAGCTTCTCTTCCCCGACAGCGTCCAGATCCTTGAGGGAGAACAAGATGTTTCCAGGCTGAAAGTCGCCGTGAACGACGTCATGCTTGTGCAGAAACGCAAGACCAGACAGTGCGTCTCGCAATATCGTCTTGGCCATTGTTTTGGGGTAGCGTGCTATTCGACCTTTTATATAGGGCTTGTTGCAGGGAAGCTCCACCACCATGGAGGCAGTACTGGGCCCCATGGGCTCAAATACCAAGCATCTGTGCACACCATTCGGTCCTGTAAGCTGGAAATCATCAAGAAGCGTGACAATATGCTTCGCCAAGCCATCATCGTTTTGAGCCTTCTCCGCTAAGAATTCGCATATCGAAATCTCCTTGCTTTCGGAAGCTAATTCTCTGGCGCGTAGAATCTTAGTCGCAACGAATCTTGATGAGCTAATGTGTTGGTGAGCCTCATATAGTGTAAAGGTAAAAGATATCGGCGTTAGCATACTGGCTGTCATATGCAAGCCATACCGTCGAGTATGACCCGTTTCCAAGCTTCCGTATTACTCGATAACGACCCCTTTCTTCGAGGAGCTCGTCGCCAATGTGGACGGGATGGAAGCCTCCGGGGAGATAGTCTTCGGCGCTTTCACTTGGGAATCCAGTGTCTGTGAAACGATAGCCGCCAACGACCGGTGTAGGCGGTGGTGAGGCATTCCAATTCAATTTCGTTTGCATGGCACGCTTGGTTGGTTTTGACAAGACTGATGATAGCCGGACAGTCCGAGCATTCGATCTCGTTTGCGAAAAGAAGCTTATGAATGAGTTTAGCCTAGAACGTCTAGGTGAGAGAGTGGAAAGTTCATGTACTTGCACAAGACGAGATCTTGTCTCCTCTTTGAGTTAGCGTCATTCGCTTATATATCCAATGATTGTCTCTGCACGTGAACACCACGGCAGGGGCCTTTGTTTAGTTCTGCAAGGACGGCAGACTTTCAATTCTTGTCCACACTTCCTGCCTCCTCACCACTCATAACGATATTCATAGGCATGGAGCTCTGTACTTGTAATAAAATCTCTATTTTTGTGTGCGCAATAAGGCACATCCTGATTACCAGGCACCAGAGCGAGGTATAAATCTTTCGTGCTCTGCCGCAAATCTCTATCAAGGAACCCGTAGGCTCCGCTCTAATTCCCAATGTCCCAGGTATCAATGTACACCCTCGCTATGCAATGCAGTTGATCCAACTTCGTGCTGCTCTAATCTCCTTGAGCGTGCTCGCTCGCTCGGCCTCGATAGGCCCTTCAGCGAGAGGGAAATGTGCGAGGCGCTACTGCCATCGCATCTAGCTCCACAGTGCTCCGTGCGGGCCGAAAGAATTGTCGGATGCATTGTCAGATGCATCATTTATTCCTTCATTTCAGGGTATCATCCTCCTTATCATCTCCTTTGCCACCTTTCTTATCTGCGGAGCTGCTTGGCTCCCCAGAGAATGGACCCGTGCCAAAAGCAGGTGTGGTTGTGGTTGCCTGGCTAGGCGGACCGCCCGCTTGAGCAACAGGATCTTCTTTGACAACGACATCGTCCTTCTTGCTTGTGTCCGGGTGTGGATCCAGCCTGTATTCGCGCGACAAATTGCTCACTGAACGTTCGCGAGCAAACCGCAGACTGTCATTGTCGCCTTGTCTCCGTTCTATGGGTGACCATCCACCCGCGATGGATCCAGCGACAATACCAGCCATGGCCGCTGCGGGGCCAAAAGCCGAGTTGGACCTCGACCGCCCCCGTCTACGCGATCTCGAATCTGGCGTCGGTGGCGCAGGAGAATGCTCGTAATCTTCCGTTTCGATTTCATTGTTCGGCGTCCGCGGCAAGCTCGAGCTGGCCCTACTACGGCTCGGACTCCGGCTGTGCATCAAGACCTCCTTGGGATGGGACAGTGTAAACTTCAGTGCATTCACACGGCCACCTTTGTATTTCTTGAGCCATGCAAGCTCGTCCTGGATGTCATAAAGAGCTTGATTGAAGCCAATCGGAGCGGACTCTTCGTCGGTGACAATCACACGGTTTTCTCGGCTCTTCCTTGACCAGTCTTTTATGAACCTGGGGACTAGGCGTTCCGCCAACTCGTCGGGGACCAAGCGGACCACAACACCAATTGGAAGAGATATGACGCCGAGCACAAGAGCGATACCCCACTGAGCGCCGGTCTGCTTCTCAGCCTGAAAGGCGTCCCATCCACCGACGAAGATAATGAGAGTCTGGCCACCAACCATGATGAGGAAGATGCCAACAAAGAACATGTTGTTCTGAATGCCCTCGAAGACATTGAAGCGGTTGTCGAGACGTCTGTTGTTGAGCGCGTTGAAGATCTGCATCCACGTGAAAGTGTTGAAGACCAGAGTTTGGAGCTGTCTGGTTTTGTGCTCGCGCTCGGCTGGGTCATCGATTGCGTCGTAGTTCAGAATATGCGCACCGGCAAAGTAGAGGACCAGGGTAACAACTAATTGGTAGATTGCCTGACCAATGATCATCTTCCACATCGAGGTCGAGAACAAGGGCGCAGATTTCGGATCTGGCTTTCGGTCCAAGATCGCACGAGTAGGAGGGTCCGTTGCAAGAGCAAGCGCCGCCATGGTGTCCATAATCAAGTTGATCCACAGAAGCTGTACGGCGGTCAAGACCGACCGCTCATCGTCATTGGAGACAGCGGAAATGAAAGCCAACAGCACGGCAGTGATGTTGACGGTAACCTGAAACTGCAAAAATTTCCGCACGGCGTCGTTGACCGCACGTCCCCACATCAGGGCTTTGATGATGGAAGTGAAGTTGTCGTCCATGAGAATAATGTCGGAGGCCTCCTTCGCAACCTCGGTTCCGGCAATATTCATCGCGAAACCGACATCGGCAGCCTTGAGAGCAGGCGCATCGTTCGTGCCGTCTCCGGTCACAGCAACGGTCTCACCCATCTCCTTTAGACGCTTAACCAAAGTGCGCTTGTCGTCAGGCGAGGAGCGAGCGAGCACTTGCAGTTTGGGGATGACAGCCTTCTGCTCGGACTTGCTCATCTTGCGGAACTCGGGGCCCTCGAGAGCAACGCCACCAGGAGTGTAGATTCCGCATTCCGTGGCGATAGCCTTCGCAGTGAGGATGTTGTCACCTGTGACCATGCGAGGGAAGACTCCGGCTTTGATGCAGTCGTTGACAGCGTCCGGAACCCCTTCTCGAAGTGGGTCTTGGATACCGACAATGCCGAGGAAGTTCATCTGCTTGCACGTGTCGTCAAACGAAGCCTGAGATCTGTCGTCTTCATCCCGCTTGACGCCCTTAGGTGGCCACTCGGTTGATTCGAAGTCCCTCCAGATGATGCCAATCGTACGAAGTGAGCGAGAAGCGTAAGCGTCAATCAACTTGGTCAGGGTCGTCTTGTTGTCTTCAGAAAGCGCAGTCGTCTCGGTACCCTTTGTAGGATCGCGAATGATCTTCGAGCAATGCCTGAGCATGATTTCACTGGCTCCTTTCACGAGCATTCGGTGACCCCTGTTGTCGGGCAACTTGATTACCATAGCCATGCACTTGCGACCAGAATCAAAAGGTACCATTTGGACAATCTCGGCGTTGCTGCGTTCCACGCTGACCTTCTCCATACCCAAAAAGTCGCGGCAGAAATCCAGCATGGCAGTCTCGGTCTTTGAGCCTACGAACGTTTGTTTGCCGTTGTCGTCCGATTCGAAAGCCGTGGAGTTGATGACGATGCTGTCTTTCCAGAGCACCTTGACTTCCTTCGCGATGGTGGAAATAAACTCCGGGGTGGACACATCATCCACGTCGTCGTGAACATCCTTGTTCGGGTCCGGGGCGTTGTTGTCTGCGTTCCGCCCGGCACGATTGCTAAATCTGCTGGATGTACCCAGAGTGCCAGCAACCACGGTCATGACATTCTGAGTAAGCGTTCCCGTTTTGTCTGAACATACGGATGTGGCATTTCCCATAGTCTCGCAAGATCGAAGTACGCGGACCAGGTTATTGTCTTTCAGCATGCGCTTGGTAGCGTAGGCGAGCGATAGAGTCACGGCCAGAGGTAGACCTTCGGGAACAGCGACCACAACAATGGTAACTGCCGTGATGAGGATGGTCATGAATTCCTGACCCTTTTCGGCCGGCGATGCACTGTTGTGTGGTAGCTGAGCTAAGAACTTGATCAGAAGGACAATGAAAAGCAGCAGCGCCGCTGCACTGCCAAGCTTCGCAATGTACTCGGCGAGCTTGTTCAGTTTGGCCTGTAGGGGTGTCATGTCGTTGCTCTCCTGTAGCGAAAGCATAGTCTTGCCGTAAGACGAGTTGATGCCGACAGCCGTAACGAGCATGCGCCCGTAGCCTTCGGTAACCTTCCCACCGGAAATCATGAAAGGATCGATCTTCTTCAGGGGCTCGTTTGCTTCCATGGCACGGAAGGCCTCATCACCGGGAGTCTTCTTGAGCACATCGGATTCACCAGTAGCTGATGACTCGTCGCACTTCACCGCGTGGCCGGCGATGAAAATACCGTCCACCGGGAGAATGTCACCAGGTTCGACGAGCAGTACGTCACCAACCAGAAGCTGCTGGACATCGATTTCCTGAGTCGTTCCAGATCGAACGACCTTGACGTTGCGCGCATCCTTCTTCTTGTTCAACTTCGCAAACTGTCTCTCCTTTTGCCAGTCGTTGAGCGCACCGACCGTGACAACGACCACAATAGCAACGATAATGGCGACACCCTCGATCCAATCAACTCCACCGTGGTCGATGGCCTGGTAAATACCCAGCGCAAGAGCAATGACGGCGGCGATGGTCAAGACAATGAGCACCTTGTCATTGTACGCCAGCCACATAAGCTGGAATATGTTCTTGGGTTTCCGCTCCGGCAGCTTGTTCTCATCAAAGACACGTTTCCGATCCACAAAGGTGCCATTTGATGACTTCTCATCAGGGCGGGCGCCCTCTGGATCCGCAACGACTGTTTTGTCGGATGATGGACTGCCACCTTTGGTAGCATCTTCGAACGAGACTTGGCCATCCAAGTGGTGTTCCTCGGCGCTAAGACCGGTGCTGCGATCCGAACGTAAGCCTCTCTCCAAGCCTACCAAGCCACCGAGAGCATGGAATGCACCTAAGCTCTTGGGATTGAAAAGCTTGGTCATGTGCCCGGGCGCAAAAGCAAAAGGGTTGTCTTCCCTCTTAAACTCGTCTTCCGTTCCGGGATCCGGTCTCAGGGCTTCATCGTCTGGCAGTACTTGATGTTCTCCAGCATCATGGGTGGACGACTGACTGAACGCCTTGAGCGGTACATCGCTGGTTGGGGTGTGCGAATTCACATAGGTAGCATCCGAAGTGGATGAAGCATCGCCCTCGGTATCAATACTGCCGCCACGACTCCGTCCCGTTGGTACTGACAAAAAGCCATGTGTAGCCCACTGCGCCGGAGAGGAGACGTTGTGAGGGCTAGTAGGTCTTGACTCCCTGCTCTCAAAGCTCCCCTTGCCCTGGAGGTCGGTGGGAGTGGAAAGTGAGTTTGATGATGGCCGCAATCCCATGTTACCTGGTGTGCCTTCACCTGCAGCTTCTTCCGAATGGTCCATTCCGTCTTCTGACCTTCGCACGGCGGAGGTGTCTATCGTGATGGTGGGAGCCCGGTTGCGTCTGGCGGGATTGAGCGAGACAGAAGAGCCATTTCCAGGTGGCTGTGAGCCGTTCGGCTCAGCCATGTCGGTACGCGGGCCGTAGGATCTATGAAATCTTTACTCGACCTGTTCGCTGTGCTGAGCATAAGCCGGCCGCAACAAGCGCGCTGTATGGGATTGGTGAAGGATCTGGCGGCCTCGCAGAGCTTCATGCGGAAAAAGCAGATGAAGGAGAGTCGGGAAGAGAGGTGCAGGCGTAATGGTGAGATTCTTGATTGGCAGTGAGGCGCAGCAAGCTGGATGAGTGGCGAGGCGGATGATGTAGCGGGATAGTCGGCCCCCGTAAAGATCTGCTGCCTGTTGATGAGGAATCTATCGACGGTATGGCCAGCTCCAGTAGGAAGTCAAGGTTGGATGGCGAGACGGCGTAGGCGGTGTCTCCAGCTGTCAGTGAGAGGCGAGGATGGCGTACGGGAGTGGTGAGGTATGAGGGCTGGGTGGGATGAGCCGGTTTGGGAAGGTGTAAGAGGCCCCAGGGGTCGATTGACGGCCATAGGGTTGCAGAGGAAAGGGCGAGTGCAGGTGTCTGGCGGGCACTACGAATCGTACGCAACGCCGTGCAAGTACCTTAATACCTTGCGCCGTGTAGGTAACCGTGACACGCCGTACGGGAGGAATGCGCCGTACAGTTGGAGGCTACGGTACATGAGCCATGAGGGAAGTGGATGGATGGATGGATGGATGGATGGGTGACGGTCGGTCGGTCGGTCAGTAGTTTGATGCCAAGAGCACTGCCTCAATGTTCGAGCTAAAAGTTCGAGCTAAACTCTATTCGAGAATTGCTGCACGGACAAGGGCTGGCTACCGTTGCACTGGTTCCCGTCTTCCCTCTTGTGCTCTCAACGCCGTCTGCCGCCCGGCCACTGCCGAATCCTCCCACGCGGGCCGCTACCGAGCCGCAGATCGGCCCCAGCCAAGCATGCCGCCCGTGCGCTCATCTTGACTTGGCAGGACCAATGGAACTTGTTCTGCCTCCACTCACCCACCTGCACTGCGCCTGCTATTACACAGCCTCATCGCCAAGTCATGCATCCTCCACTAGATGGTGAAATCGTGTTCTTCGCCTCCTGACTCGCCACAGGTATCAAGAAGCTCGGATGACACTTGCCACTGGCGTGCCGGACTGCGTCGATTTCCCCGCGGAACCTCTCACGTGCTGCGGCAGAAATCCCAACCAAGCCAGTCGCAGATTTGTGGCACTTGAGCTAGTAGCTTGTCGCAGAAAGAACTCAAAGTTTGGTAGCGCATAGAAAGCAGCCAATCAGATTCTCCCGGGCTGAGCTCCGCTAGACTTGAAACTGTAAATTCGCGACTTCACCTTCCGTTCCGTATCCAACAACTTCCTCAGGTAAACACCAACTCTAAGCGTAAGCGACATACACTCCTTCTTCCATCTGGAGACCGAATCCAGGCGTGTTCGACGCCATGCTCGACCTCGACAAGTCTTCCACCACTCCAACCCCAAAATGTCTCTTTACCAGCACCCAAATGGCCAAATTCCTTGACCACGAACAGCCGCCGATCAAGAAGAGACCGCTTTCAACGATTCTGAATCAGCCTTTTACGCATACTGCATGTTACCTTCCAGTCCGAGTCTCGCATCTTCCAAGCTGATAGTGTATTTACTAGCTGGACATCCTCCTCCCCAAAACTACCAACCTAACACCCCTTCAATCCCTCGCAACAACTTACGCAAAACTCCACCTCAAACTCCTCGACCTCCTCTCGGATCCTTTCTTCACGACGTATATCAAGACTCCTGGCCCGTCTTCAGACATCCTCCTCATCTCGGAGCCTCCATCGAACGACGATTCCTCTTTCTCTCTCGCAGATGGTATCCTTCGAATGGAACTCGGCAGACCGACATACGAAAAGACCGGCTTACAAGGTAAACCCATCCCACCTTCCGGAGAAGCAAGAAAACACACCAAACAGAAATTCCTGGTCGAGGTGAACCTGAGATTACCCTCCATGGTTCATGGGAAACCTGCGTTTGAGAGATTACTCTGGGCGTGTAAGAATGTCTTGAACGAAAGCGTCACATGGCTCTTCTACTGCCCGTGCTCCGACCAGGAAGGTCCGATCAAGGCGCATTCCCCTACCTGGCGCACCACCCAGCTACTCTTCACGGAAATGAGCGACGTTCTGGTTCCTGAGTTGAGAACAGAGAACGAAGACGAAGCTGTTGAATTACTAGAATGGGTCTCTCTGGCTATGAATCTTTGCTCTCCGAGAATCCAGAGGGACGATAAGATCGACCCATACCTATCCCGCTATCAGGTCCCACAACCCACTGCGACACGAGACTTGTTTCGCTTCAGATGGCGCGGCCTCATTTCCCCGGGAATCGCACAGAAAACGTTTCTCACTGCGTTGAAGTGCACGGGGAACGAATGGATGGCCATGAGCGGAACATCCTTCACAGGGAGAAGTTATACGATTCTCGTTCGAGATGGAAAGGCTTTGACGTGGGAATACAAAGACTAAAAGGAGGACCTACTCCTCCCCCGTGCCCGTGCGATTCTCAGCAATCTCCCGCAACATCCCTTGCAAAGGCCTCAAGACCTCCCAGCCTCCACTCCACTTATCCCCCGCGGTCCCTACCGCTTGGATAAGAAGCGGATAAACCACGCTTAATTCTTCTTCCCCAAACTTCTTCACCGTTTCGAAACAAAACAACAATTCCTCCAACTCGCTCAACGGAATCGGTTTCCTTCCGCGCAATGGCTGGTCGGCGATATACGCTCTGATCGGGATCGCACATCTCAAGAGGAGGTCCTCTTCAGCCAGTGGTCCGAGAGCGACGAGTTCTTTCCAACACACATACGCCATGTCTTCACGGCGAGAGTAAGGGACCGGTTTCACGCGCCCTCGACGGATTCGGAGAATACTCTTGAGGGGAGGTTCTTCGGGGCTGCAGATTTCCCCTGTCTCGTGTTGGTGGATGATGGAAGCATCGTAGAGGGCTCGAATATATTCCTGTCTGGTTGCATCGGAGAGTTGCGGTAGCTTCGGGTTGAGGATTTGCTTGAGAGTCTGGAAACTTTCGACGTCGAAGAGCTGGTCGTTGTGGATCTTCACGGGGTCTTCCACTGCTTGCAGGTCATTCGCTTTGACGATGCCTGCTGCGATGCCAATATATGCCGACCAGAGGCGATCATCGGCGTTCGGCTGCTCGAGGAGTGGCTTGGACAGAGCGAGCGCGGTCGAGGTGGCCCTTCGCCAGAGTGGCATTCCTCTGCGTTCTGTTCGGAACGTGTACTTGCTCTGGATGATCATTTCGAGACCTTCAATAGCTTCCGATAGCACGTCTGCATCAGTCAGAGTAGCGGCGTGGGAAACGACAAGCTCTTGAAGCCAAGCGGTCGCTTCATCTGCTATGGCAACAAACGTCGGGCCGCCTTTAGTATCAACGTTTCGTGATTCGTGATGCAGCGTCGCTAGCTTGCCAGCCACTGTGATCAGACAGGGAGCGATATCTGCCTGGTCCATCCGTAGATTGCGAAGCAGTTGTAGAACTTTGGTCTGCAAAGGGCTCATGTTGTTGATGTCGCCACCGTGTGAAGGACCATCCGACGCCTTGACGCATTGGTACAAGTTGTTGATCATGGTCCTCGTCTGGGAGGTACTCATTGTGTCGCGGGTTAGGCGGTACAACTCTTTACCCGACTCTACGTAAGCCACAAAGGCATCCTGATTGCTCTCGTTGCCTTTGCTCTCCGCGTGCGGAATGCCCTTCAGCCAGAGCGAGAGCGTTCGGAATGTTGGTCCCTTCCAGACGGACGAACATGCATCGATGCCGGAGAGGATTCGTGTAACAGCCGAGTATACCGCAGCATTGAGAGAGTGCTCATTCACGTCCAAGTACCTTTCCAGCGTGCTGAGCAAAACTTCCCAAAGACTGGGCAGTTTTGCAATCTGCTCGATGAGGCCCAGGTGTTGTGCAAGGACCTGTGAAGTACCGGCAATGATGGATTGCGACATGTCCATGTCTGGAGCACTCTGCGGATCTGGCTTGTTCTCGTCTTCTTGCATGTAAGAATAAGAGTCCGCGCGTGCTATGTGGAATAGGGTGTTGCGCACAAGAAGGTCCCAGGCAGCTGGTGATAGTTCTTCGCCATGAGACTTGAAAACACTGCAGATGGTTTGGAAGGCAGCATTGCGGATCTCCTTAAGCGGACGAGCCGCGACTCCCCCTAGTCGGATCAGCAACAGCAGCCATTGCGCAGGCTTCGAGTCGTGGAAGCGGGGAGATTGCAGTTCTGTGTCAAATTCTTCAAACTCGTGCGCCTGTGTGATCAACGCGTCCATGGCCTCACTCGAGCAAGCGTTGAACAGGAAGTCGGAGACATTCCACGCCATGGACACAGTGGTCAGCGCGGCGTTGAGATCTTCCTGCTGGCACATGAAGCGATATAGCAACTCCACAAGAGAAGGCACTACACTTGAAGGCAGAGACTCCAGAAAGTCAGAGCACATCAATTGCGTAGCAGAGAACGCGGTCCGGCCAATTTGAGTTGACACCAAGTCGAAGGAGACCTGACTCCAATTGATGTGGACTTGATCATCTTCTAGCCCTCGCGAGCGGGTTCCAGCATACTCGAAGGCTGAGCAGAGAATTCCAATGATCCTGTTCCATCCAGCTAGGAGGGAATCGCCGCATCGTTCTAGGATTGCTCGTAGCGAGTCGAGTACCTGATTTTGCAATTCGAGGTCCGCAGAGCTAAGCTCATCCTCTTCACTGAAGATGCCATCCACAAGCCGCAGTAGAACAGTTAGAGCTCGCCGCTGAATAGCAGCTCGTTCGTCAGGATCTTCTTTTAAGCTATAGGCTATCGTGGCTTCTGCAAGCTTGAGTAAGACGTTTGTTGCGCTTCGTCGTGCTTCCCTTAGTGTCGCATTTGTTCGTGCTATGGCTAATAACTCGTCAACAAGACAAGCCCAACCGCTCGAATTTGACTCTTCGTGAACGAAGCGCGAGACGTTCAGCTCCGCAAGTGTCCCCAGCTTTGGGATCACGAACTGATAGTCTCTAGCCCGTAGCTCTGCAAAAGTACCAATGCGAGGTAGTCCCGAAAAGGTCCGCCTCGCTGATATGGGGGAGCCAGCTGAAGACGTTGGTCGTGAATGGACTGAAGACGCAGGGGAGGGGAGGTCTTCGCTTTTGCTCTGCAACATCTGGCAGAAGGTCCTGAGTACGGTTATGAATGCGTCATTGGGGTAGTCTGAAGTGCTCTCGAGGAGTCTGGAGGCAGCAGCTTCAACAGATGCCACCTCGGCACTGAAAGCCTGGACGACAGAGGGAGGATCAGTGCCCTTTGGTGTCCAGAACGAGCTCTGCCGGCTCATTTGTTGTGGCGTTGTAGTGCTCAGAACCATGTCCGCCTGTTTCAGAGCGCTCAGAATCACTGCAAATGCCTGACCAAGAGTCGGGCCAAGAGCTATGGCGAGGTTCAGCAGCGCTCGAAGACACAAAAGATTCCGAACAGTAAGCATTGGCCTCGAAACATCCATCGAGGCCCGTCTGTCCTTGTCAATCGATAGCGAAGACGCCTGAGAGACCAGGCTGTCCACACTGAGAAGGCTTTTCGCGTTGGAGAACACGCGTGGGGATTCTGTTGACGGAGACTTTGCAGTATCGCTGGTAGCCGCATTAAAAACGTGAGGCGGTATTGCGGCTTTGGCCAGGGTTGTCATGAGAGCATCCCTCGGAGTGATAAGACGTAGCAGGCCGGCGACTTGAGCAAAGCGCTGATACGCTTTGATCAGATTGCGAAAGTATTGGTCATCGAGAGCAGCATTGAGGAAGGTGGAGGATGTTGCGAGCACCGCTGGCCAGCAAGTATCGACTAGTCCTGCGATAGCTTTCATTCTCGCTGCATGAGGAGCGTTCGGGTCTTCAAGTGGATTGACTGGCACCGTGCGGGTACGGAACGAGGTCGACCTCGATCTGCCATTGCTGGACTGGTCGGCGTCCGATACTCCACTTCTGCTTCTCGATTGTGACTTCTCGCGCTGCACGGTCAGCGGGAGCACAACGCGAGCAAGACTGTCCGAGAGACCGTTCAGACATTCTAGCACGAGAGCATAAGGGTAAGTCTCGGGAATGGCAGGTGGCTCGTTCTTGTCTAGTTGCTCTTTGCAAGGAATCTTGGGTAGACTCCATTGTGTGCTGATGCCAGCTGCATTCGTCTCAGCCACGCCCATGGCTGAACTAAGAACGCCTGCCATACCACCTGCTGCTTCAAGAGCAGCTGTATCACCCGAGAAGTCGCGAGCTGCAGGTCCGGTTGGCACAGTCGATTGCTGACCCAGACCAATCGCACCCGGCTTCTCAGTCGACAATCGAACGAAAGCAGACATCAAGTCCTGCACGATCGACTTCTTGTCGTTTTCACGGCCGTCGAATATCAGGTACGCGTCAATGATATGACCACCATCTGTAAAGAAGTCCCGTAGCACTTCCAATACCAATGCACGCTTCCACAAAGGTGCTGACTCAGCTTCCAGCGTTTGCGTGCAGAGGTCCAAAGCAACTTCACAATCGCCAGGGAACTTGGACATGTACCGATTCAGTATCAGGTCCAGAAGGCGGATAGAACGGACGGTCACCGAGAAAGCCAACTTCTCGGACAGAGCTCTGACCACCAGGGGGAGGATGTTGGAGCCGATTATTGAGAGTAGCTCCGCGTGCGTCTAATAAATCAGCTTTGCCTCCATTTTAATACACATATACGGCCACGTACTTTGAAGAGCTCTGGATTCGCATCGACGCACGACCAGATGAGTTCCAGACTTGATTCTGCCGATAGTGATTCGAGGGCCACGAATTTTGTCTTCCGCTCGTCTGCAGCAAGAGCCAGATCGCGTAGCACTCTACACGCATCATACGCTGCCGGCCTGAGTGGGATTGGCCCGTCATCGCCTGGTACTTCCGTAGTCGTCTTGACGTCGGCAGCACTCTTGTCCTCGGAAGCGACTTTTTCAAAAACCGTGGCAACCAATTGTTGCAGCGTAGCGGCTGCCACTCCACTAACAGTAGAAGCCTTCGCCGCCTGCAGAGACGAACAGACCTGCAACGCACCGCCGAGGAGCTCCCCCTCAAGTTCAGTCGCGTAGTTCTGTAGGAGAGAAGGCAGAGCCTGGAGAATCTTCAATTGAATGTCGAGGCCAAGGTCCGTGCAGGCATTGAAGGCATCCAGCGCATCCTGCAATCGCTGCTTCGGTAGGCCTTTGGAGATGACCAGGCGTTGGAGAGAGCTCACACCACTCGCAGCAAATCTGGCATTGCGAGTGTTGCAAGCAATAAGGAAGGGCTCAATGAAGGAGGGCCGTCGACTTAGATCTCTTCTCAATCAGCGTATGAACATGTTGAATTCCACTCCCCCGTATTTCGATCTCGGGGCAAGAAACTCGCAATCATTCCCGTCAAAACAATTCAGTAGAGTGTGGATCACTTACCTGCTGCCAGCTGCTGCTCCGAAGTGGCCGGCAGAGCCTTGAGCTCCTGCAATGATTTATCTGCCGCATTTCTCAACGCCGTGTTCTTTCGTTTCGCCTCGGAAGAGAGATTGGAGAGCTCGTTGGCGAGCAAAGTCGCGCTCATTGTGGTCTAATGTCTCCTTGCAGCATTGCCAATTCCAAATTGCATGAGACGTGCGCCGTAGACTGGAGGGTGGAAGTTGATGTTAGGAACAAGTTGCATGTGAACGAAAGCCACGCAGGCAAGGGTGGAAGGTGTAAGCGCTCGCACGTGACATGGAACCATCCGCCGCCTTCGGTATGATTCCCTCCGGGCTCTTCGTTGTATTGACTTCGAACAACGTCAACCACCTCGACATACCAAAGAACGAATCGTGGCCCTACCGCACAACCCAGACGAACCTCACGTACATACCGAACAAACGAGAGACAACATGTCAGGCGCCTCAACTTCCACCGACGCCCACACGACCAAAGCCACCGTCTCCGACTCGCAAGACACTTCCAAACCTCTCCAACCGCAAAAGACGACGCAACTCGAAGAGGATGACGAGTTTGAGGACTTCCCAGTAGAAGGTACACAAGCAACAAGCCCCGAATCCTCGTCGTCTTCAGCATCACCCTCTCCAGCACCTTCATCATCATCCACCACTTCCCCATCTTCAGCACCATCGCCGGCAACATCTGTTTCAAGCACAGCGGCGACGAGCTCGCAGGCCGGTCTGCTAGGAGGCGGAGGACGTCGCCATGACTACATGTGCGCATCTCCATCGGCCTCGAGCTCTCTCACGTCTGTCGACTCGCATTCTACTCCTTCCTTCTCCTGCGCTTCATATCCTCCTGCTTCGTCCAGCGTTCCACCAACAGCTAAATCCGGCCTCGTCTTCTGCGCTGCCATCCTCTCTACACAAGCACTCGCGTTTACTTTGCCCCTTCCTGGCCGATGACCAATAACATTCGCTTCGCACTACGATTTGCTTTTACGCGGTACACTTGGAGAAAGCTGACCTGGTGGGGTATATGATGTTCAGATTGGGCCAAAGAAGAGGAAGTCGGTTCGCAGACGGCGAATACGCATCTCTGGGAGGAATCTTGGGACGACGACGATACGAGCGATGATTTCAGTGTGCAGTTGAAGTGAGTTACGACTCTCTGGGATCGGGGCTTGCGATGAGACTAATATGGGTGGATTGTTGTAGGGAGGAACTCAAGAAGATGGGGAAGAGCTGAAGGACGAGGAAATCATACACCTAAACTGAGAGGATGGCAAGATACCGACAAGGGAAGCTAGCTTCTTGAGAGACGAGCACGACTATGAGCGCGGCGTCCGGCGCAGGAGTAAAACGAACGGAATGGCATACGGCGGAAAGGCTACATAATGAAGTAGCCTCCTTTCTCAAGACGATTAACAAGAACTTGAAGAAAGTTGCGCCAACCGCACTCTTTGCGCTACGCGATTCACTCACAATTTAAAGGCAAATGGGCTTTCAGTAGCACTGACATTCACAGGGGTATCAGTCAAACACATTAGAAAGAATGAGGACTCGGGGCATTGGGAAAAGACGAAGGAGATGAATGTCTTGGAGTCATGGGAATTTGGTACAGTGAACGGGACACATGGCATCAATATCATAAACCGGACAGTCTGCGTGACATTGGGCCAGCTGTGATCGTAAGGGGTGTATATCGGATGCATACTACATCGCTGCCCCCTTTATCGTTTTCGCAGACATTGAAAGACTATCTGTTCTGCCAGTCCTCGCTGCGTATCGCTTCTCCTCCACCCTAACCTGTTCCCCTTCGACTCTAAAGACGAGCGGCGATTCACGGCTTCTCACTCAGAGCAGAAACACCTGGCAAATCCTTGCCCTCAAGCAACTCCAAGCTTGCACCACCACCAGTCGAAACATGGCTCAACTTATCCTCAACACCATACTGCGCAGCGACAGTAGCTGTATCACCACCACCGATGATCACAATCTTTCCCTTCTGCGCAGCTTCCACCGCAGCGTTCATCGTTGCCTTGGTACCGTTTGCGAACTTCTCCATCTCGAATACGCCTGGTGGCCCGTTCCAGAGGATGGTCTTCGCATCGTCGATGGCTTTCTTGTAGAGGGCAATAGATTTCTCGCCGCAGTCAAGACCCATCCAGCCGTCCGCGATGCCGTCCTTGTCCTCGGCGTAGCCGGTGTTGGCGTTGGCCGAGAAGGCGTCGGCGGTGATGTAGTCTACTGGGAGGGTGATGGCGACGTTCTTGGATTTGGCCTGCAATATCCAACGTTAGCCGGACGCGATCGCTGTGTTGAGGGGTGGAGAGTACTTACCTTCTCAACCAATTCCTTGACCTTCTTGCTTCCCGCCTCGTCGAAGAGCGAATTGCCAATCTTCATGTCATCCAGAACTTTCTTGAATGTAAAGGCCATTCCGCCGCAGATGATAAGGCTGTTCACCTTGTCCAGCATGTTCTCGATCAACTGAATCTTATCCGAAACCTTTGCTCCTCCCAGGATCGCAAGGAACGGTCTCTGTGGGTTCTCTAGCGCAGCGGCAAAGTACTCCAATTCCTTCTTCACGAGGAAACCACTAGCCTTCTGTGGCAGCTCGACTCCCACCATGGAAGAGTGAGCACGGTGCGCAGTTCCGAACGCATCGTTGATGTAAATATCTCCGAGCGCAGTGAGTCCCTTGCGGAACTTCTCAATGTCTGCCTTGTCTGCCTTGACCTTATTGCCATCCTTGTCTTTCGAGCTTCCCTCTTCTTCGGGGTGGAATCGCAAGTTCTCAAGTAGGATTACTCCTCCGTCGGTAGTGCTGTTGACGACCTTCTCGACTTCCGGACCAACACAGTCTTCCGTGAAAGTGACTTTCTTTCCTCCGAGCAGCTTCTCGAGCTCTGGTACGACGGGCTTGAGGCTGTATTTGGGATTGGGATGACCGTCTGGACGTCCGAGGTGGGACATGAGGATAACAGCTTTGGCGCCATGGTCGATTGCGTATTTGATCGTAGGGAGCGCTCCGACGATACGTTGATTGTTGGTGATTTTGCTGTTGGTTTCTTTGTCAAGAGGGACGTTGAAGTCCACCTAACCACATTACATGTCAATTGCTGCGCCTTCCCATGCGAATGATGTCTTGTTTTGACCAACCCGAATGAGCACTCGCTTGTTCTTGAGGTCGACATCGGTGATGGCGAGCTTCTTCGTGAGAGACATACTAGGCAGTCTTGTTCGAGATGTCTTGTTGAGGGTTTGGAGGAGCACACAAGTCAATACTGTGAATGTCGGGAGGGGAATGCTTCAGTGTCGGGGTGTTGTTGTTGTCGGGAAACAAAAAAGTTCCTAAGTTGGCGGGGCTTTTCTTCTGCCGCAGTGACGCAGCGAGGGGCAGCCAGCAGCTCAATTCGGGCAGATCCGAATCGAAATGATAAGAACCGGTTTCACAGTATCTCTCTCATTCAACACGACACGAGAAAGTGGTAACGTACATATATAAAGAGCCTCTCCTCAATAATTCCCGAGGCTATGCATCGAACGATTCCTACTCCAGCTCCATGCTGTTCCGTGACGCCCGAACTATCCCATCCTTTCGCGCCAAGCTAGCAGCAAACAACTCCGAATATGCCCGACGCTGCCGCCTTCCATTCGTACAGGACCATGTTCATAATGCAGGTGTAGATGATGTTAGGTGGAGGGGTTTCTTCATGCGGGAGATCGCGCAGGTGAGCGGCCCGGAGAGCGTTCGTCTGGGCTCACGACTGGCTCATCCGATGAGTTGGTGAGTGACAGATACGCCGTCCAGAAGATGCCGATTGTCGATACGAAGGGCTGTGATCAAAGTGTTAGTGCTTCGTTCCATCCATCCTTCGTTCGACCGATGGTTGATACTCACAATCTGGAACTGAATCGGAATCACGCGGAAGTTCAAGACCTGCACCAGAGGCCACACCAAGAAGTTTGCCTTGAGCGCAGGCAGATATACATCCTGGAATTTCTTCGTCACTGCTCTCTTTCCGCCTCCCTCTGCGACCGTCATGAAGGTGAAGAACGCCGCCAGACCGCATGGCGCAAACAGAAACTGGTCGAAGGCTACCCTCCTCAGCGCATTGGTGGTTCCCTTTCCTCCTTCTATGGGGAACAGTCGACTCAGCCATCCGAACCATTTGTGTTGTATTGGCGCCATCATGAACCCGTACGCCATGAAGCGGGTCAGGCGCTCGAAGTCGAAGGGCGGTGGGCCACGGCGGGTGACGCTGCGGTAGTCGTCCTGGTCCGGCCAGGGGACTTTGCGGTCCAGCTCGTGAATTTCGATCGAGAGCAAATTGCTTTCTGCATCGTCTTCGTTGCGCAATTGTTTTTGTCGTTGGCGCATGCGCACCGCTGTGAGGGTTTGCGCAACGGTGTCTGCTATGCCTCCCAGGACCTGTGTACATCCATCGTCAGTGACACGTGCTCTTTCTGTCGAGGATATGGTATAGACGTACGGCGTTGGTGATCATGGTGGTGAGCACCGGCCTGTTGGCATAGTAGGCGTTGAACTTGCGCACGAGGATCGAGACCATGGTGATTTGTATTAGGGCGATGATTGCATGGAGGAGTGGCTAGGCGTGTATGTCAGCAGACTGTGCCTTGTCCGCTGGTGTGTTGAAGGGAGAGGACGTACATATCTCCCGTAGATATACCTGCTGTTCAGCTGCCTGAGCAGGCGTTTCCGCGTCTCATTGATGACCATTGTGGTGTCGTGCGAGAAAAGGGCACCTTCGCAACTGGTGACGTCGACTCGCTCTACTCCAGCCGCGCTTGGACTCACGGCTTCGGAGGAACGGCGGTGCCACCGTCCTTCTCGATACTCGACGGCGACGGCGACGGCGACGGCGACGGCGAGGGGCAAATGTCTGTGAAAGAGGCGTTATATTCAAACGAGGATAAAAGAACGGTTGCTGCAGTCATCTACATCTGCTCTCGTGATGGTGGGAGTGAGGTGTCCTTCCCGCGCACCCGGCCTGCAAGGATTCCCGCTGGTACTGGCAGGAGGCTGAGCAAAGTTCAAGCCAGTCTCCGGTTTAGAATACCTTAGCTCCCGTCTCACATGTCGAGTGAGTGAGTGAGTGTATCACATGTCGAGTGAGTGGGTGAGTGTATTGGACTAGAGACAAACATCTGCGACTTGCGAGGTCAACAGGCAGATTGTCGCCGCGGCGTATCGCGATAGACGAACAAAGAGTTTCTATCCTGCGCGTATGGACTCTGCTGCACTGCTTGTAACAATCACTGGGGATATCATTTCATCAACCGCTCGATAATGCTAGACAAGCATCCACTGCCCTTCCCACATTTCCTTCTTCGGCTCGCACGACATCTGCAATCACCTCTCTGTCGAGGTTCGGGAACATGCCTTGCAGTGTTCTGCGAATGGTCAGCCAGGCTCCTCAATGCGCATGAAGTGGCTCAACTCACTCAACAACAACTCGATGTTCCCGGACCCTCAGCTGTTGGGCCTGCGCCGCTTCCGCGCTGGCCTGTCTGGCCGCCGCGTCCTCTGCTATCCTCTGCCTCTCCGCTGAAGCTCGCCTCTCCTCACTTGGTCTGCGCTCAATTCGAGGCGCTGGACTCAGACCCCGAGGCGTTGAGCCCAGCTGCGGTGTGCTAGCTGGTCTTGAGCCAGCGATCTTCTCGATTGTCGCATCGTCCGAGAAGATGCGCCCGATGCTGCTGAGGGGCTTCTGTATGCTGCGGAGCAGCCCAGTCACAGCGTCCAAGTCGCCGTCGTCCTCGTTATCGCTTCTATTCTGCGCAGCCTTCTCATTCAGTCGCTGGCTGACGTTCCTCCGAGGTGTTGACCTTTCACCGTCCTGGCTATTGCGAGGCGTCACCTCCGGTCTGCTCAGCGAGGCTTTCTCACTCAAGTGCTGCATGGGCCCCGCCGTGGCAGGCGAATGCGCCTTCTCTTCGTATTCTTCTGCACGATTCTTCTCTGCTATAGCACTCACGGCCTGCTCCACATTCTTCTCAAATTCCTCGTCGGTGATGGTCAAGTTCGTACGATCCAGATTCTCGATGAAAGTGACTACGCCCATAAGCGAGGACATGTAATAGCCCGTCTCGCCGCCAAGCTTTTCCTGGTTCCTAAACCGCCAGATGTATTGCACGTTGCTCGCCAAGTGTTCCGGGCGCGCTTGCAGCACCGTGTATATAAGCACTGGGATGAATGCATCCGCAGATTGGTCAGACTTGGAATTTCGAAGATAACCGAAGATGACCTTGCAGCAATTTAGCACACAAATGACTTTGTCACGTGGCGCTCGGTATGTGTTGATTTTCAAAAGCTCCTGTTGCGCCAGGGTGAGGAATTTCCTGCCCTTGTCTCCAATTGGTTGGATATCCAGATGCTCATCACGAATCCAGCCATAGATCTTGATCTTTTGGGCAATCACCTCATCGCGCTCGACGTCTTCCTGATGTTGGCCTCTTCGTCCAGGCCCGTGCGGACTCGCCTGGTCGACTGCGGATCTACCCCCACGAGCGCCTTTCCTGGGACTTTCTGTTGCAGCAGGGATGGCCGGAGAAAAGGTCTGCGAGTACAGCCTGTTCATGACCAGCTTCTCCATGCCCTCTCTCGCGTTGTCAAACTCGGCATCTGACACGGTCCGCCATACCTCGCACTGGCCCATCTTCTTGGCAATGAATTCCAAAAAGTCGGACACGATTTTTACTTGCTCGTGAATCGCCCACTGCTTTTTACCAAACTCTGTCAGGAATGACCGGAGAAACCTTGCAACAGGATCTGCTGACTTATGCCGGAGCTGTTCTAAGAATCTATGAAAGTCGAATGGCAAGGCGGGCTCAGGATCCGGGGATGGAGGCGGAGGTTGGAATATAGAGCCCGCTTTGCCAGATGCGATCGACTCCTGGTCATCTGATTTGACTCGGTTGATGCTCGAGACAGACATCGAACCGCCGGTACCTTGGCGGCTGATGGGTGAAGGGACGCTCTGTCCAGTCGACTGCTGACTCAAGGTATACGATGGCTGCTTCTCGAGGCTCGAGGATCGTGGTGGTAGTACTAGCATTGGCTGTTGACGTTCCAACAGAGGAGACATGATCTCCGACTCGCCGGGACCGCCTTCTGCAAACTGATCCAGAATATTCTGAATCTCGGCTCCGGTCGGTTCTGTGGTGCCCTGGGGAGCCTCGGGCACGTCGTTGGATGTTTCCTCACCAGGCGCGGGCGGCGGGTGCTTCTCCTCATACTCCGCATCTGCGTCTTGTTGCTTGGGAGCTGCTACACTGTCCTTCCGCGGAGGAATAGGAGGTGGAGGAGTCTCTGGCAAACTCTCCTTCTCCCTCGAAGTAGTCGAGACAGCGCTAGAGCTTGGCCGTTCCTCTCCCTCATCTAGACTCATCTCGGCAGCCCGCTTTGCGAGATGTTCGCTCGCTCTCCTTTCGACGTCCCTCGCCATCTCTCCATGATCTGCATCTGATACCGCGGGACCGGATGCACTTTCACTCATTTTGGCGGCATCCTTCAGCGCCTCATCTTGCTTTCCTGCTGTAGGAGCCGTGGCCGTGGACGGTTGAGTCTGGGTATCCGCTCCTCCATCTTTGCTCGTCGGCTCTGACTCCTGCTTCTCCGCCACACTAAAGTTGTCCGACAGTCCTCTCGAGATATGCGGTTTCTCTGGCGCAAGCGAGCGGTGGTCTGCAGCCTGTGCACGCCCTTGCGACTCGCTATTCTCGGACATCGATGGTGTCCCAATGTGTCTCTCGCTGATTCGGTGATGTCGGTTGCTGCGTTCGTCATGCCGCTCTCACGGACTCAAAGGCTGTGCAGTATCTCTATGGCGATCTCGAGACTGCCATGGTGGTAGTGGTTCGTTTCGTGAGACTCTGCGTCCCAAAAAAAGCTGTGCAGCTCTGTAGAAGTGCTTGACGACGAAGGAAGACTCAGGATCGTGTCGTCACGTGGAGAGGGAGCTTGCGCACGAGCCCAAAGCTTCTTTCCAGCTCTACGAAAAGATTCCATTCTTGTCTTCGGCTTCATCCCATTAATATTCCTTACCTTATCATACCCACTGCAGACAACAGACATTTGCCATGCTACTGGATTCCTTACGCAACTCATCGACCAAGTCATGTGCGGCATCTTCTGCTCGATCAGCAGACACGAACATGTCGTCCCGTCCGATACCCTCAAACAACTGCTGCAATCACGAGGACCGGACGCGTCGAACCAGCTGAACATCCAGTGTATACCGGAAAGCACAACGGAACCCGCGTACTTGACTTGCTACTCGACAGTGTTGTCTCTGCGCGGCTCCAATCCGGTGTCTCAGCCTTACCAGCAGCGCGGCTCAAACTCCTTCCTCTGCTGGAACGGCGAGGCGTGGGGCATTGCCGGCGAAAAACCGACTGGCAATGACACCGCAGCCGTGTTCGATGCGCTGCAGAACGCAGTATCCATCCCGGTCCCGCCCATGGATGCGCGAGAAGAAGGCTCCCTCGTCACGCAGACGCTTTCCCAAGCCCTCTCGCAGGTGGCCGGCCCTTACGCGTTGGTCTTTTACGACGAGCTTCGTTCGAGGGTGTACTTTGGCCGAGACTCCCTCGGACGGCGATCGCTTCTATGGAGAGTCTCGACGAATGGCGATCTGATCTTCAGCAGCATCACCGACGGCACTCCAGGCCAAGGGTGGACTGAAGTCGACGCCGATGCAATATACAGTATTGATCTGTCAGCGCGGTCCTACGCCAGAGATCGAGCAGGGGATGATGTCGAACAGCGGGGGGCCTTCTTTGTCTCCCGGGCTCCCTACTCTTGTGTGGGTGACAGGGATGTAAACGACCATTCTGTAGGTGCACAAATTCTGGCCTTGAGTGTGTGCGCTCATGGCAAGGTAGGTGATCCCCAAACTTCTCTTGAACAGACAGATACCCCGGTCTCCAGCACGCCTCGATGAGGATTCTCCCTCGGTTTCTGACCTAGGCAAATTGCTCCGCAACTCCCTCTCCGCCCGAGTGCTAGACATTCCCGAGCCACCTGCTCTCGACAAGGACATATCTTGGTGCCGCAGAGCGAAGGTAGCGATCCTCTTTTCCGGCGGCCTGGATTGCACTGTGCTAGCAAGGCTGTCGCACGATCTACTCCCAACAGAAGAACCCATCGACCTTCTTAATGTGGCGTTCGAGAATCCGCGCATCCACAAGTCAGCGGAAGAAGACGCTTGCGAGCTTTGTCCAGACCGAATCACGGGCCGTGTGTCTTATGCTGCTCTTTGCAGCGCTTGCCCGGGACGAGAATGGCGATTCGTGGCGATTGACGTCCCATACTCTGAGGCCAGGGCGCACCGGCAACAGATCATTAGATTGATGCATCCTCACAACACGGAAATGGATCTAAGCATCGCATACGCCCTTTATTTTGCAGCGCGGGGTGTCGGGTGCCTTTACAATGAAATGGCCAGCGCGGTGCTGTCTTACACAACGGCAGCTCGTGTACTACTATCGGGCTTGGGAGCCGATGAGCTTTTTGCTGGCTATACGCGACATTCTACAGCTTTTACGAGGCATGGGCACGAGGGCCTCCTTAATGAGCTCGACCTCGACATTGGAAGATTGGGGAAGCGCAACCTTGGCCGTGACGACCGTGTCATCAGTCACTGGGGCCGAGAGGTGAGATTTCCGTTTCTCGATGAGCACCTGGTCCGATGGGCATTGGAAGCACCTGTCACAGACAAGTGCGACTTCGATGCTACGAAATCCAACATACCGCTTGACGAAAACTCGTGTGCATCCATTGAACCAGGCAAAAAGGCTCTGAGGTGTTTGGCGTGGAGACTAGGCATGAAAGAAGTGGCCAAGGAGAAGAAGCGAGCGGTAAGCGTCCAGTGTGCCAGACAAGCGGATCCATGCTGACATTTTGCAGATCCAATTCGGCGCTCGAACAGCCAAGATGGAGACTGGCAAGACCAAAGGCACGACTCTTCTTTCATAAGAACATGATGTGAGTTCGTCTTTCTTGATCCCTTCACTTCCTGTATTATGATGATGGGACGCGGTTCTTGAGCCCGTCTCAGATACTTGCGAGATCGTCATGCCCATTCTACACAGACCTGATCTAGCCCGCTTCGTTTGTGGTTGGGCAGGTGCATGGGGCTTGACCATCGATGACCTTTGCAAAAGGCAAGTCTGATCTACCTGGGAATAACTGCAATACTATGATGATACTCGCGTGATGGTGGGGCTTGACGCTGATGATCGAACAGACCCCTTTTAGGTGCGACAACGCATCTTGTCAGGTCCTCTTAGGCGGCTTGCTCTCTGTGTTGGGCTTCTCAGCTACGCTTGTAGCGCTTAGCGACATGGACACGAGACATACACCCCAGAGCAGACCTGTGGCATGCCACCAGCATTGCCGCTCAATCGCCGCGTGAGCCAATTCATCTTCGTGGCGTGGACCTCAAAACGTGACCGAAATGGCGGCTGAGCTCGTTCACTCGAAAAACCGATGATAGCAGTACGATCACACAGCGTTTGCTCTGCCCGTTGACACGTCTGCCAACGCAGCGGAGGTCTGACTTCGTCGCACGCATGGCCGACCTTGATCACGAGCGTTATGATTCTTCCAAGATATATCAGAGCTCTTCTCTTGACTGGAACTCCTGTCCTCATTCTCAAATCTTTCTGCACACGATCAGCGCAGCTGCCTGAGCGAACACTGTTCTGCACCTGCACGCCTCGTTCTCCTGGACCTACAACAGATTGGCACCCACAACGAACTCGACCAACAATACCAAAGACCTTTGACTATTCTTTGATCATCTACTCGGACCACAACAGCTGAATGAATTAGTGCCCTTCCACTCGCGCTCAACCTTGAGTGGTGGTGATCGGGCGTAAGCAATTGTAGGCCCCCTCACCGTCGGCCATCCACTAATATTGACAATCTTTCAACAGTCTTCTACCATTGTAGTAGCTATTGACAAGGTCGGAGCTAATTTCCAACTCACTCGAGTTTTGGAACAATCTGTATTGGTCTTGACCCTCCACTTTGACCTCTTATTTTCCGATAAGCACGCCGACAGCCATGAAAACGACTACGGCTTCTCTGGCAGTGCTGTCGCTGGCCACTGGTGCCATTGGAAGGCCTCATGCCCACAACGGCATGCAGGATTCTCCAGAGGCCCAGCAATTTAACACGACCAGCGGAAAGCGCGCGAGAGACCTGTTGATGGTGGAGGAAGAATACCGCCTTCAGTACTACCAGGCTGATGGCGACGAGGAGCCACATGCTTGCACCACTACTGCTCCGACGACTCTTCTCCCAGTCACAACTACGACGCCTGATGTCTCGAGTATTTCCTCAGTTATGAAGAATCTGAATAATGTTCTTCCGGCTATGGCTGCCCAGGGAGTCGATGTTGCTTCTTTGATAGAGCAGATGGGGATTACGACTTCAATGACCGGTTCAGCTGCAACGCAGCAGGTCCTTACACACAAGATCTCTTCGCCTTCCTCGCCCAAGTCTTGGCATGGATACCGGGTCATGGATTTTAAAAGGCCTCCAGTTGCCCAGGTCACGAACGTCCCAGGTACTCACGAAGATCTGAAGGTGAAGCGAGAGGATCCAATCTCCGATGTGGCGTCGAATGCTTCCACCGCGGAGGCGAATACTTCCACTGCGAGCACTGCGATTGGAAGTGCTGTGGCTAAAGCAGTGCATGTGAATGCCGCAATGGGAGTCAGTAGTGGGTGTGACAGTACTACTACTGGAGCCGACATGGCGCCTATTGGTGGAGCACTTGGAGGCTCTTTCAACAGGACTACCAACTGCACTTTCATGACCTCAGCAGCTGCTATTTCTACACCAGCAGCTGTCCCGCGCTCTATGGCTCATGCACCATCGTTTCTAACCACCGTTTCCGGGGTTGCATCGAGTTTCACTCCTTCAAGGCGGGAGCTCAACAGCCAGCCAACTGGCTTTGCGTTCTTTGACCATGTACCAAGAACTGTCCCGATGGCACCTGCAAGCCCACTACCCGCGAACTCGACTGGGACAGGCTCTCCGCTCTCAGACAAGCGTCGCCATCTGGTGGCTCGCGACAGGTCGAACTCTCACGGGGAGCACGCGAGGAATCCAAGGAACGAGGTCGTCCAGGGACTTATGAATACGTCCACCCCCAACTATCTTCCGAAGCACAGGAGGCGTATATTTCTGCCGGTTCCCACACATGTTGGAACTATTGCGAACACAACTTCCACTGACTCTGGTGCGGATGCGTCATTGGGCGGCACACCTGTCGGGGATGGCTCGACGTCTACTGAAGCTGATGAATCTGGATCTGATGACAATACGAGTGAGCCAGGTGAGACTGTTGACGCGACTACGGCTGGCAACTCTGCTGGTTCGGAAGACGATGTCACTGCACATGATAACAAGAAAAATGGTACCGTCGCTTCAACCGTCGCTGAGCGCGATACCACTTCCACTGGCGAAGCTGATGCAAAAGACTACACAAACGGCACTACCTCTGGATTTGCTAGCGGTAACGATTCCGCCAACGAGACTGGGCCGAGTGATTACGCGAATGGCAATGCCGCTGAAGCAAGCTCTGGGAACGCAGCAAGTGTACAGAGAAATTCTACCGTCGCTACCAATACTGCTGCTCCAGAAGAGATGAGCAGTAATGACAAGATGCGTAGAAGCTTGATCGCCAATCCCGATCTCGGTTCGAGCAGCTCTACCGATGAAACGGCCTCTGGTGCTGGTAGTACTGGAGGCAATGGAACTGCGCAGGGTACGACTGCTGGCAGCAACTCCGCAGTCTCGGATATGATGGATGGCGAGGAGAGCTCGAACGCAGCATCCGCAGGCTCTGGCTCGGCTATTTCGAATCGGAACAGTGAAAGTCTCTCCACCTCCGGTACGGGTTCTAGTGCTGCTGATCCAAATCACGTGGGGAATGGTGGAATTTCGGAAGAAAGCTCGAATTCGACTTCCTACTCTGGAAGCTCCGGTCTGGCAAGGAGAAAGTACGGAGCTGGCTCGTCTCAAAAGACGAGCATCGCAAGCCCTCGATCGTTTAGATCTCGGGCTCGCGCTCTTGCTTCGGACGTCGAACTCGCGTCCTCTGAAAATGTTGACACAGCACAATCTGACATTAAAGTGAGGACTCCTAAAGGTTGGGGTTCCAGCAGTTCCTCCAACGAACCTGGTAGTCCTCAGTCGCAACAGAGTTCCGACTCTGCGCAGAACAAATGCACGTATAACCAGAGGGGGTCCGCGAAGTGTAAATGCAGGCCCCGAAAGAGACTATTTGGATTCAGATCAAGTTCACCATGCTCGAGCCAGATCCCTGCGCCAATCCCAAGTAGCTCCAGGACCACAAGCAGTACTTTGAGTCCTACGTTCCCGAGCGTCAGCGCCACTCCGACCCCGAATGCGGATTTTAACAGTGGCCCCAATAGCTTGGGCCAGGCTGGAGGCGGCGCGACGACCTCGGGCGGCTCTGAAGGTCACCTCAGTGGTGCTCCTTCTACGGGGAGTGGATCCGGGCAGAATGAGTATGCTGGCGGTAATGGTCGCAATCAAGGCAGTCATGGTAACACGAGAGGCGGATCAGGCGATTCGAACCCTGGAGCTGCTGCTCAGCAGCAGTACGGTGATTTCACTGGGAGCTCAGGCGTCGCTAATTCTGTTGCGGCTGCCTCTGCACTCGGCAACTCCATGGGAAGTGGTGACGCCCACTCTCCGTTCACGGGTATGGGGGAAACTTCGGAGTCTGGACAGAGTTCCACTTCTGATGGCACAGGTTTCGGTTCGAACATGAACAAAGCGCAGGGCGGATCGCAGACCGGGAGCGGTCCTGATCCAGCGAGATCTTACAACCCAGAGAGTTCTAGCGGTGGGAGCTATGAACTAGAGACTGGGAGCAGTCAAACCTATGAGAAGAACACCAGCTCTGGACAATCTGGCAGCGGGGATGATGGGTCGCAAAGTGGAAGTGACCAAACCTCTGAGAGCGATTCTATGTCTGGACTATCTGGCAGTGGAGGCCATGGGTCGGGGAGTGGGAGTGATCAAAGCTCCGAGAGCGGTTCCAAGTCTGGACAGTCTGGCAGTGATGGCGGTGATGGCGGTGATGGCGGTTACGCTTCCGGGACAAGCCGACGTTCAACATCATTGCCGATGCGGTCTAATCTTGGGGCTCGATCATCCCTCAATGGTACCGATGGATCAGATGAAGGCCTTGTCAATGCATTCCCTCAACACCAGAACGCATCACAGCTTGAGCGGAGAGAGGACGAAGACGACAGTGTTGATGCAATCCAAGGGCGCGATGCGTTCCGAGGGTCTCAGTTTCACTCTACACCGCCTGGCCATGTACCATCACGTCGAGCACCTTGCGAGTTTGCCGTTAGCCACAGGGGCCGATGCATCAGACGGTATTGCGGTGAATTCAAAGAAGAGACCTCTGGATGCCAATGCCGTTTCGGCAAGCTCGCCAACGGAGGGTGCAGCCCGCCGCTGCCATACAGTCTATGCCAGCAGGGGAAACGACCAAGTGGAAGGTGTGTTTTCAAACGTATCAACAGAAAAGGCATGGTCGTTCAGACAGTCGAAAAGAAGGAGCTTGAATCCGGCCGTCTGAAGGCCTGCGGGTTGTTTCGAGGCTCAAAATTGGATGGGCATTGTGCGTGTGTGCGTGCGACCACTCTAGGCTTCTGTTCGCAGCCTGCCGATTCCCTCAAGCTGGAAGCTGGGTCGCACAACCTTCGGCTGGGACATAACCGACCGCACGGTCGTCGGTCTGACGGGGATGAAGAATCCTCGACAATTGAAGAGCCCACAGAAACCGATCAGTCTTCAGTGGCTGGGGGTTCTTTGACGACGCGGACCTTCTCAGCAAGCAACATGTCCTCAACAACCAGGAAGCGTAGCGGTCACAACTCTCCACAAGAAGTTTCTAAAGGCGCCGCTAAATGCACAATCAGAGCCTCATCGGGACTTCGAGCAGATCATATCAAGCTTGACATGGACATTGGTGTCCCTTTCGACCATGGCCGTAAATGTAAATCTATCAAGCATCGCCTCGAGCACCCCCCAAATGCGCGCCACACGCGCCACATGAAGCTACGCTTCCACTGCAAGAAGGGCGTTACAGAAGAAATGACCCATCTAGCTATTAGAGTTCGAAAGGACGACGTCAACAAGATAATGGATGGATTGAGCGATGCATTCAAATCCGACAATGTGGATATTCGTTCTGGAATGTGTACGCCTTCTCCAAGCAAGCGCCCCACATTGAATCTCCTGTCTCGTGGGGCTGAGGAATGGAGCCAGACATCTCCGGACCAAGACACTGCAGAAGATTAAGAGGAGATTCCATTCAAGACTGGTCCCTCCTTCTACGTCTCACCCAGGAGAACGGCTATTCGACCCTTTTCAAACACTCCTTGGCGGGCTTTCCCTTCAATGATGGTCACGGCTGCACTTTCAGTCGACATCAAGTTTCAAGCGTCACCAAGGGCTACCGCGGAGACTACGTATCTCGCGATCACTCCGGAGACTGCTGCAGTGTCTTCGACAGGCTTCTCGAAGCTTCTCAAGTCAAAGGCGTTGACGTTTAGAAGAGCATGTGAGACCGCCGGCCGGCCGATGATCCTCACACTCTACTCTACTTTTAATACTCCATGGAACTTACTTTGCTTTCTCAATTTCTTCCTCGTGAGGAACGAGTGCGATTGACATGAAGAGTACATTACAGAAAAAAATCGGCATTGGCCCGTTGGTTTTATGGGCGATTTTGACTTGTATTTCTGAGGTCTAAACTTGGGCGTGGAGGCACGATGTGATCAGGCTGGGACTGGTCGACGTGTGAAAGGCCAGCTTGGCACAGATTGTTGGAGCAGTATATCAGACCTTCGGGCTACGACTTTCAGTTTGATGTCCATGGCGGCTCTCCCGTTGTAATAGTATGGATGAGGGTTTCTGTTTCCATTGGAACGACTCCGCAAGCAGATTTCACCTCTTCCCTTTGAGTAAGCTTTGCTGCACGACATGTTCCAGCGGGTATGTTCGACCATTCCATCCTGAACTCGTAAAGTGTCTTCATGCGCCTCCTTCCCGCTTCGCGTATTCCTCCTCCATCCTTTCTTCGAAGAGCTTCTCAGCCGCTGCTTCAGCGCTTCCGGGTTGAGATGCTGAGATGCTGCCGGACTTTGGATCCTTGCCGGCTTGAGCTAGGGTCTCTGTGTCTTTGGGTGCGATATTGGTTCCGCCTTCTCCGCCGATGGCTGTTTCGGAGTTGGTCGCTGTCTCGCCACCAGACGGGATGGTAGGCGGTCTAGTGAGAGAGGACATGATGGAGATGAAAGCGTGTGGTAATACTAATGAAAGCGGATGAAGTGGTAGAATCGTGAAAGTCGTCGCCAAGTTTACTGTCGTCATTCTTCACATGAAACGCGCAGCTAAAACAAGCGTCCCGCATGGCGCCGGGATTGGCCGCCACGAGAGATCCGAGCCGACGGAATCTCGAGTCCCCTCAGGACGGGAAGTAAGGTAACAAAGTCCAACTTCAAGTTTGCTCTTTCTTTGCTCCACCACCACACGACAATTCACTTTCAGTTGTGTTTCGGGGCAAGTGCCACTGCCCGCGACCCGATCGCGACCGGCGCAATGGCCAAAAAGAAAGGCGACAGGTCGGCGCAAGCGGAAACAGCTGCCCCTCCGCCTGGCTCCAGTCTCATCATTTGCAGGAACAAGTACGTACGTCGCCCTTTTTCGCCGCAACACCTCGTTTCGATTTTCCATACCTCGCGACGATACCGACTCTGCAGAACAAGCCACTAAATCTTGCTCGATACAGGCATTGGAGATATATTTCTTCATTCCATGGACCATGGCTTCAACTTCCCCCCGAAATCCTCGATTCGCTGGCGCATCAGAACTACACCATGCCTGCGCCCCGATTGGTTGATCCCGCAGTCTTCTACGATGTTGTCAAGATCCGAAAGGCGGTGGACGAGGCGGCGCAAGACTCGGTTAGGGCTTCGACGGGTATCAGCAATGCGGGTGCGAGCAATCGGAACATGGATTTCTTTGGCGTGGGCGGTGGAACAGGGAGTCAGCTGAGTAAAGAGCGGATATTCAAGATTCGGCAGAAGGCGGCCAAGTTGCTCAGCAAGGCCTTCACCCTGGACGAGGTTGCGGCGAGCGTTGCGACAATGCAGGCGACCAGCACCGTTGAGGACGTTGCATCGCATGTGCTGAAGCGAGAGCCGCATAGCACCGGTGCGTCGATCCTTTCATAAAAGAAGGAGGATGGCGGTAGTGTAGTGCTGACATGGGACTCCAGACGCAAAGTACGTTCACTTCTTTCACGAGAAGATCCCTTCAAGGGCCATGGAACAGTACACGCCCTTGGATCCTTTGAACGAAATCATAACGATGCTTCCTTTCGAACACCAAGCTGCACCTTTACGCACTCGCGCCTTGGTCCAGATCTTCAAGCATCAGTGGGACGGAGCAGCTCTGGACCTGTCCATGGCCATCAAGATCATGGACGAGCTGAGACTGCAGCACAAGCCGAATCAGCGGCAACTGGAGCTCGCGAGTAAGATGCGGGATGAGCAAGAGGCTTGGCAGAAGGGTCATAAGGATTGGAGATCGGTGCCTCACCTGAAGGAAGAAGAGCAACCGAAGAGCTTGGAGATGCAACTCTACTTCAATCGCGGTGGGGTCTACCTCACAATCGCTTGTCAGAGCGTGCATGCCGCGCTAGATGGGCTGAAGGAGTACCAAGCGGCGCAGGAGAAGGGCGAGACGAACGGCGTGGATGCGAAGGCGCATGCTGCTAGACTGGATGCGCGGAAGAAGGTCAAAACATACGCCAAGCGGGCACTCAAGGACTATACGACGTTCCTTAGCAATTTCGACTACACGCCAGGTCTGCCTTTCGAGATCACCAACGAGATCATGCGTAGAGTGTATGATCTCGCGAATGGACACAAGACGCAGACCCCCCTTCCGAAGAAGAGACTTATAGAATTGGATGGCGACAGCGAGGAAGCTGCCAATAGCAGTGGTGAGGAGAACGGGGCTTCTGCGTTGGAGAAATATCAGAAGCCCAAGGCGGAAGCCTTTGAGCGCGGCGAAGATGGCTGGCCTCGCTTTCCATCGCCGAAGATCCACAAGGCCAGTGCGTTGTTCGCGGAAAAGCCTCCTTCCGATTTGCCTCCATTCCCAAGTCGCGAGACGGAGGAAGCGATGCGGAACAACGAGACCATCCATGAGGCCTTTGGCAGCCGTGAGGCTGTGACCTATCACCCTCTGCTGACCGACGCGCTGCATTCACTCCTGCTTGCACACGCACTCCTGCAGACCAGCCCAACCGAGCTCCTTCGTCACGCCCACAACGCCGGCCGTCTGGCTCGAATTGCAGACGGCTACCCCATATTCCAGGCAGCCAGGAGTCCGGCTCGGGCCGATTGGATCGAAGTCCTGCGTCGCGCAAACAACTGGCTCGGGCTGTCTGTTCCTTGGCAGAAGCTCTGCGCACCTGCGCCTCTGCCCGATGCTGCTGGTGGCTGGGCCAAGGAGTCGGGATCTGGTGGTGCGCTCACCAAGCGTCGGGAGAAGAAGGAAGAGACGGCGGACCAGAAGCGCGAGCGGATCAAGCAGGAGTCCATCATCGATGCCCTCTCGGACGATCGAGTGGTGGATGAGGAATCGTTCCAGAAAGCCGTTCGTGCGAGGGAGCGGCGAGCGATGGAGGACGAGCAGGGGATTTCGGGGCCGCTCAAAGACCGGGATATGAATGGCAGTGGTGCTAGTGGCAATTCTACCCCTTCATCTGAGTCTAATCTGCCGGCTCCTAAGCGATGGGCGCAGGACGAGAACGGGAAAGAGTATCCCATCAGTACGGACCGTGCGGAGGCTATCGCGAGATGGATCAAGGAGAGTCCGTTGAGCATGGGTGGGAAGAAGAAGAAGCGGCCAGCAGGCAAGAGAAAGCCGGTTGGGTCTAGTGCTGGAAACGGAAACGGGAACGCAAACGGAAACGGAAATGGAGTGCATGCTGCTGCTCGAGGTGTTGCCGGACTCGAGGTTGAGGACGAGGAAGGGCCGGACTAAGATGCACACGGCGGGTTTGGATCATGGTTGTGTCAGTCGTGTGTAGTGGTCGGCAGACAGCTCAGTTCGGCTCCGCGTGGCGGTAGAATACCTGGTCCACTGCTGATTGCCTGGCGGCGTAAGGTGAGAGGGTATCATGCAAAGAAGTACAAGACGCCGGTCCGCTCGCGTACTCATGTCGTTTCCACCGCCGCCATCTCTCATTTCGAATGTCACCGGTATCGTGTGGGTGTAAGCACGCGTCTCTACGCGTTGCCATGTTGTTGTTGCTCCAGCCGCACACTTTGAGCGCGTAGTTCTCTGATGACTTTCTATACGCGCACGGTCAGCATCCACTTTTCTGGCTGTATTTCATATAGATCTAGAGGAAATCGCTTGCCGCCAATGCTTCCGGATTCACGCCGTTCTCGATCAACGAGACGCAATAGGAGAGCAGGTTGCGATCGAGTTGCGTGTTGAGCAGCGTGGAGATTTCATGCAGGATGTCGATGGTTTCCCGCGCCGCGCGACGTTTGGAGTCTGCGTCTTGTGGTTGGGGCTGTGTTGAGGATGGCATGGTGGGGTTCTGGTCTGATCGGGCCTTGTTGTTGGTATTTGTTGGTATTTCGTTGGATGGATATTTGGCTAATGCTTTGTTGATGCGTCGTGTTCTGATGATGGGCTTGGAAGCTGGTTGTAGCCCTAACCCTAACCCTAACCCTAAGCGCTGGGATAAGCCGAGGTTTCTCCGACGGACGGGAAGCTTGAGACGTGCCCATTCACTTGACGGACACTGTACAACATTCTATGCACAAGACTGTATGCACAACAACACTGTATGTACAACATTGCATGTACGATACTGTACAAAGCCAACAGATAGACTTGCAGTGAGTCGGAACCACTGGCCATGGAGGCCTACCCGCCTCAATATGTTCAGCACAACCTTCCACTTGTCCTCCTGTCGGGATTGGGGGAGCACGAGACAACACATCAGTCGTCGTCGATACAGCCGCGACGAGCGGAAAGCGGAGCCAAGATCGCGATAGGAGCACGCGAGTGCCGCAACGAGCAGTCGAGGCAACTTCTGGGCGAGTTTGTCTCTCGCGATGGCACGGGAGATGCGTGGAACGGCGTGGCGCTGCCCGCCCCCCCGGCGAGTATGCGATTTCGAATCAAGACGATTGGGAGGGTGAGTCTTACGATGGAAAACTCGATCCGAATATCAATGGCTCTGCTCTGGTCTGGTCTGGGCTGATGGCGTACGGTCGATAGACATATACATTACCGGCACGGAAAGCAGCGCCTCTCCCCCAGTCCCCCGGCGCCGAGGGCAGCTCTCCATCTCGCCATACCGAACTGCACTCGCCCCTCTCGCCGTCCTCTCCCGGCTCGCCGGTCTTTCCCGACGGTATCTTCACGCCGCTCTGGTTCTCCAAACACCAGCAGCATATTCCTTCTCTCTTCCTGGCCTTCTTCGATCTGAACGCCAATGAAGCGGCGCAGGACGAGCAGCTCAAGGCCGACATCAATGGCGTCAAGAACGCTCTCTCTCGTTCCGGCTTCAAGACCCGCCTCGCAGTCATCCTCATCAGCGACAGGAGCATCCTCCATGCACCAGAGCTGGAAGACCGCTTGGCGAGCATCCGAAGAGCAACTACGCTGGACCCCAAATCCGGCCTGTTCTTTATGCCACCCATGTCCTCTCAACCGGAGATTGCCACTTTCGTGCAGAGTATCATGACCGCGCTCCAGCCTGGCGGTGTCGACTATTACAGAGATCTCTCCAAGCATGCGCGGCGGAAGAAGGCGAGGGGTGGCCCTCCTCCATCGGTCAACTCGCCCATCGGCGCTTCCTCCCAAGTCACCTCCACATCGGGATGGAACGTGAGGTATGAAGTCAAACAAGGCGTCTTCGCAGAGTTCCGCCAGGAAATGGATGTTGCGGAGCGTCATTACTCTACTGCGATCGAAGAGCTGTTCAGCTCGGAAGGTGGTGTGTTTGAAACGACAGCCAGCTGGTCCCCCAGATGGGATGAGGCAAGGCTTCTGTGTGACGCGCTTGCCATTCGCGTTATACGATGTCAACTGTGGGTTGGACAGACGACTGGAGCTGCGCAGTCCTGGCAGAACTACAAGCTGCGAATGCGAGATCTTGTGGATCGGCGTGGCAGAGGCTCCCATCAGTATAGCTGGGATGCTTGGGAGGCACGATGGGCCGGCGTCATGTCAGAACTCATTCAGATGGCCGATGTGCCAACATTGCAGGGGTCATCGAGATTGGATTCTGGAGAGCTTTCTGCTCAACAAATCTATGCCATGCCAGAAAGGAGTGTTGATCGTCTTCCTCCGTTCAACTTGCTGCATCATTCCGGGTACTGGCTGAGATTGATGGCAAAGAGCATTCGAGACCGCTGGGAGAAAGCAATCAATATCCCCGAGGAAGATCGTGTCCCGCCTGGCCAGTCCCCTGCTTCGGCTGTCGCGAACCGCTTCAAGACGTATGATGTGTATCTGGTCCCCGAGCCCCATGAAGAAGCGCCAGTATCAGGTCGTGGGAAATACGATCACGCAGCGGAACTCGCGCAGGTGGGCCTCCAAGCGGCCGAAACGTTTGAAGCAAGAAGACAGCCCCGAATGGCGGAGCAGATGCGCCTGGACATTGCGGAAGATCTGGTCCGGGGCGGTCGATATTCTGATGCTTTCAAAGTCCTCCTACAGCTGTGGGAGGATTCCTCATGGCGAGGAGAGGAATGGAAAGTTCCCTTCGGCAGACTGTCGAGCTTGCTCGCCGAATGCGCGAATCGAGACAAGTCTGCCGAGAACGCTTCGCTCATTCCAGCCCTGACGTGGGAGCTCTTGAGTTTGGCGCCAAATAATCCGCAAGATGGCCCACTTGACATCACCCAATGCTTGGACACTTGGGATGTTGCGGACAAGATTGAGCTCAGATTGCATGATAGACATCGGCTTAGTCCCATCACGGCCGGCTTTGCTTTCAGAGAGCGCGAGAGCCATGTTGGAGAATCGTTCGAATTCCAGCTACATCTTACTTACGACACGTTTCAAGCGGCCGGCCCCGTCCCCATCTCGAGAGCGTCGTTTCGGCTTGGTGGAAAGGCAATAGTCGTCCACCATGAGGCTGGAGATTCAAGTGCTGAGCTCTCTGCCCTCTCTCAGGCTCGTGAGCGCGACGATGGCAGTTTCGAAGCATCAGCCAACCTCACGCTACAGCCGGCCCGGAGACGAATAGTCGGATTGCGTATGGTGCTACGGGAGGCACAACTGTTTGATCTTGCAAACCTCACGATCGAAATCCAGACGCCCAAGTTCAATCTGACGCACGAATTTGACGACGATGCAGTACGATCAATCCCGCGCTGGTACGTGGAGAAGGACGGCGAAGCGGAAAGCTTCCTACTTCCTCACTTCAACACCAAATCTGTCAATGTACTCCCAAAGCCACCGAAGATGCAGGTACACGTGCACGGCTTGCGAAAACAGTTCTATACTGACGAGCGCATTCATGTGGATATCGAGCTCATCAATGAAGAAGTCGAAGCAGTGCATGCTACTGTTGCGCCTAAGATCATTGGCTCTTCTGGCGAGACCATAGACTTCAGATGGGCCTCGAGGGGGGATACAGAAACAGTCTGGCCAATTGAGTGTATGGGAGCCTCAGCAAGGGAGAAGGGACAGCTTCTGATTCAGGCGCCGTCGGAAGCATCCACGTTCACCCTCACACTGGATTTGAGATATACGTTGGCTTCGGATACGAGTACACCACTGGCGAAGACTGTCGCGATTCCACTGGCTTTCACGCCGTCATTCGAGGCGAAGTTTACATTTGCGCCGCGGCTACATCCAGAGTCCTGGCCCAGCTATTTCGACCCTTCGAGCGAGGGCACCGCCGAGGATTCCGATGGAATAGCACAGCTTTGGAAGTTAGGCGCTCAGATCACGTGTCTGGCCTCGGAGTCTCTCAAGGTTGAGAAATTAGAATTGCAGGAGCACGAGGTACATGGCGATGCATCTTGCACCATTCCGGAACCGATCAATGAAAGCGAACATGCACTGGGCACCAACGAAAAAAGCGTGACGCCTTTCGAACTTAGCACACGAAAGTTTTCACTCGACGACCGGCGGCCGAGCTATCTGGACCTCTCTCTGCTCGTGACTTGGTCTCATGACACCGGCTCCGGTGACTCGACGTCCACGACAACGGCCATCGCAGTCCCGCGACTGACCATCCCCACTTCCGAGCCTAGGGTACTCTGTACATCCTCCAACCCCACCACAAACGGCATCACGATCTCGTACCATCTCGAAAATCCTTCCGTACACTTCCTCACATTCGCCCTAACGATGGAGGCTTCCGAGGATTTCGCCTTCAGTGGTCCGAAATACAGGAGTCTGTCGCTTGCGCCTCTGAGTCGACATGCTGTTGAGTATAGACTGTTGGTTCATGGCGATACTTCTGAAGGTGTTGGTGGTGGTGTCTGGGTCTATCCGAATCTGCAGGTTGTGGATAGTTATTATCAGAAGAATTTGAGGGTCCATGCTGGTGGGAAGGGTGTTCGGAGTGAATCTGTGGGCAGTGGAAGGGAGATTGGAGTTTGGATTGGGGAGGGAGAGCCGGATGAATGACACGTTGGAAATGCAGGTTGATTCTGTGTGTCATCTGAGGTTGGTTTTGGATGCCATCTGAGCTTTTGGAGACGTGGCACAATAGCAGGCTCTTGCAGAAGCCTCATTGTGCGGTATGGCTGTTTTTCAAGCGGAATGAAAGAGTATGCGAGCTACTGACTTGGATTGAAACATGATGTTTGACGCTCCATCGAACTTGCTTCTTCACATTTCCGCAATCAATAGTACCGCATTTCCACCGGAACAGTTTGATTTTGTCAATCATCTCCCTTACGCAATGTGTTGCTAGTACGGTCCGTAAAACAAATTGCGCATATCGCTTGTAAAGACTCCCCGCAGAGGAGTGGTCCCTGATCGCCATTGATTCGCTCGAGGCGAATGCCTGGATCAAGAAAGGTATACCGCCTGTGGGAACGGGGAGTCCCCCAAGTGCGGTCTTTGCGAGGTCTGACTAGTAATTCATATGTTCATCTCGTGTCGGTTCGATCGACCCACGGGGCTCGTGTAGCCGATCGCACTGGGTCGATGTTGATATCAAGTTTGCGATATTGCAGACATTGCTGAGTTGGTTGCCGCAGCGCGAGTGGTAGTAGTTGGTGTCTTGGACGCAGCCGTCAGCGTCGTTTTTCCAGCCATTTGGCCCAGGAAGAGCGCAGGTAGATGTAGTTCTACTCCATCTCGTCCATGGCTTGGTTGCAGTATCCGTCGGCAACCGTGTTCTGGGCTCGGGGGATGTGCGTGTAGGTAACCTTGCCAATGTCTTTCACGCGATCCTCCAAGTCGTATGCCTGCCGAATGAGATCCGTGTTCGCAACATCATTGCCTCGCGAGTTCCTCCAGCCGTTGCAGATCCATCGGGCTTTCCACTCGGTCATGCAGCCGATGGCATACTTTGAGTCCGAGCGAATCTCCAAGAAGAGGTATGGCAACGGGTTGAGCGTGTCGTATTCGCTCAGCGCAGACGGCAGGGCCAGGATGATGGCCAGCATCTCGGCGCGTTGGTTTGTCGGAGAGTCGTCGAAGTCCATCTTCTCGGTCCAGTACACGTGGCCTCGATTGCGCTTCATCTTGACCGCCGCGGCTGCACCGATTGCGTATCCGGATCCGTTGTGCCGGCAGCCGCCGTCGACGTAGAAGACCATGTTGTATCCCATTCTCGCGTTTCGGAGGTCCGGGTCAGTGGTGAAGAAGCGATGCGTTGGTGCGTTGACCAAGATCTCGCGAAGATTCCAGCTTTTGCTCACACGAAGAAGGATGGAATGATTGTCGGATGTTTGTACGGGAAACAAAGGCGAGGTGGTGTTACCGCCCAGGAGGAAATGTTTGACGCCGTGGGGCAAGTACCAATCCGAAGTTCTACGCCGACTTTTTTGGACATGTCAGATTTGATGCCTCACGAATGCCTTCACTCGACGTCGGAGAACAGCTTTGCCAGGCTGTTCAGAAGGGTGACGACGGTGGAGGAGGGCTTGAGATCAGCGAGTAAGCCGTCATCGCATCGCGGTGGACGAATGTCACCTGATCGCTGGTCACTTGAAGTACTGTCCCTCGCAAGACCGACATTCTGTGTGTTCCCAGAAGGATACGTTTGATGCTTGTTGTTTGATGTGTGATGTTTGATTGTTGCCAATAGGAGCAAAAAGCAAGAGAGAGATGCGACTCCCTCCAGGAACAGGATGCATCGGACCGTAAATGGCTAGCGTCGATCCTAGCGTTATGTACCCCTGATCGGATCGCAGCACGAGATGTGCCGAGAGTCTCCCGAAAGTCAATGTGATAGGCGCAAGACGAACCATCCCTCGGACAGCACATGATGATGTAAAGACTGCCACGAATCGCTTCATGACATAGACGATCTGGACATTGTAGCATGACATACACGATCTGGACACTAATCTGGCACCCTTGAAGCTTTGGCGCAGAGCTTGAGGGGGAGTATGGACTCAAGAATGGTCGTGTGCCCGCCTGGGTGCCCACTCTCCCCGTCGCCGGGCATTGACAGTCACAATGGGCAAACTTCCACATTACGACACGCTCAGTTTCCTCTACGACAACGACGATGGGTGCGCCCTCACGGCTCGCGTGCACGGGGAGTGGTACCATGTCATGATCGATGCTGGCCGTCTACAGGACCGATCGAAGAGTGGGAAGAGGGTAGCCCGAGACTATCGACGACTACTTGGACAGGTCAAAGAGTCGGAGCAGACAAGTGATGGGGTGAAGACCACCGCACCGTTGTTCGTGCAGCCGGATGAGGACGAGGACGACGAGGCGGACGAGGGCAAGGACAGCGCAGTGGACGTCCACACGCCAGAGGAGGACGAGGATCACTCGACCGAACCGTCCAAGGCCCTGGAGTGTTGGATGCTGTCACCGTTGTCGGACACGTTCTCGGCGCGCAAGAAGGAGAGTAAGACCTCCAGAAAGCGGAGCGTCGAAGCGTGGTATCTTTGTCCGACTCATTACTTCCGTCTTTGCGTCCAAGATGGCAAGCTCAGGGCCGAGGAAGACTCGAATCCATCGTCTGCCCTCAGACAACGCATCCAAGCCCTCATACCCTCCATGCCCCTCCACAAATATATCAGCGACCTCGATATCCCCATGCACAAGGCCAAAGATCTCACTGTACTCCTTGAAAGCTCGGAACCTGCCGACACGCCTCTTCATCCATGTCTCGTTCGGCACAATCAACACGGCCCAGAGTATTTCCTCAAGACCGTCGATCGAGGCCAATTGCAACCGATGAACAAGCGCGAGCTGCAAGTGATGAAGCGAATCGAATCCGAAGGCTTACACAACGAGATCCGAGTGCCTCTCCTCCGCGGATTGGTTCAATTCTCTACCTCCAACCACTCGCAAAATAAGCAGGACATCATGGGTTTCCTGATGGATCCAATCCAAGATCCAAAGCCCCTGACACACATGCTCGACACGCAAGTTTCCGAAGAAAAGCGGTTGAAATGGGCCGAAGAGTCTGCTCGCATGGTTGATGTGCTGCATCAACATGGTATCACTTGGGGAGATGCCAAGGGTGATAACTTCATGGTCGACAAAGATGACGAGCTGTGGATTATCGACTTTGGCGGTAGCTACACCGAGGGTTGGGTAGACGAGCGGCTCATGGAAACTGTAGAAGGCGATAAGCAAGGGATAGAACGCTTGCAGAACGGACTGGAGGATCCTGAAAACAACACGACTAGGGGCGCAGAGGGGGAAGAAGAAGAAGAAGAGGAAACGGAGGTGGACGAAGCCGACGTCGATGAGGCGGACCTGCAAGAGACTAAGGAAGCGAGACGACAGGCGAGAGAAAGCTGCGCGGGCTGGGAAGAGCGATATGAGCAAGAGCAGAAGCAGTATACGTCTGGGGCAGGAAGCCGGAAGCGCAAAGCTGCAGATGGCATTGTGGATTCCCGGGAACAGAAATCGGCGAAGCAGGATCACGACGCTGACGCTGAGCCGCGCTACTGTTATTGCAATCAGCCAGAGTCTGGGAAGATGCTTGGCTGCGACGGTCAAGAGTGCCCGAAGCAGTGGTTCCACTTCTCCTGCGTAGGTCTCAAGGAGGCTCCAACTGGGAAGTGGTATTGCAAGGGCTGTCGCTCAGCATAACAAAACAAGACACACCAGATCTTACTTGCCGTACGCTGCGGTCCCGACCAGCGTTCGTACCAGTCTGTGACCACAGCGCTGAGAGCCGTTTAAACATAGTGAAAGACGATCGCGTCGATAGACGACCATACTAAGCGCCTGCGACTGACGGTCGAAGACGGCAGCGCATGGCAATGGCTGCGCACGAGTCAGTGACCACCCTGATCAATCAATCGAATCATGGTCAAGACTCGTGGTCATCTCATCAGCCATCGCGCCCGAAGAGCGGCTTCCGCAGCCTTCAGAGCCATTGGGACTTTCCTGCACAAGGCGCTATCAACCTGTCATTTGTCGTCTTGCGAAGGTACATTCAGCAACGCTTTCTTTTGTGATTCATCGTCTTCGAACGCCTTAGAGATCAAAATGTACTCTTTGAAGCCGAGAGCGGAATGACAGATGACTCCGCAGATGCCTTTGTGTCACAGTAGTACAGCAAGACGAAGAATTATAAGCAACTACAATGGTGCTACGATATGGAAGAGATGCCAAGAAGAAAATGCCTTTCTTCCAATTGTATGCTTTGATCCCTCTCAGTCTTATGGGAGTAGCATGGCGATCTTGACGGATATCAAAAATGAAATCTGAGCGGCCGAATTATCTACACCGGCGCTCTGTCCAGCATCTGTATTTCAATACCACCTGGATATCTTGTACCGACCAAAAACTACCCGCTCTTCTGAATATGCCGATCCGGTCCGTACTTGTTCGGGTCTTAGCGCCAGGCCATTTGTGAATGGTACCTGTTGCGTCCAAAAGTCTTCCATGAATATACTTTCGACCCAGCTCTCGTTCACTAGGTGGACTAACAACTCCCTTCCGGAAAGACGAGGCGCCGCGAAGGTGCTATGCCATTCCACGGCATGCTGTTCATTAGCGAGGATTGGAGGATGCTCGCCCATAATCAGCACATCTTGTCCGTCAAAAGTGAAGCCCATGGTTGCCTTGTTGCCGAGTACCCATTTTTCGAAATCGTGTCCCATTTCCTTGCAGTGTCTATTGGCCACTGAGAACCCGATAGTGTTCTGAAAGCAAGGCTCGGGGAGTTCTGGCCCGGCCATGCATACCCTCAGGGCATGAGCGAGTTTGTGCGCTATAGTGACGGCGACCGTCACCCAGGTGTGCAACAGGACGTGCGGCTTGCTCCAGTCCATTGCTTGTAGTGACTCGTTGTTGATGGTTATCTCAGAGCGGTGTCCTGGTTCGTCTCGGCTGATCTGGGTTGTGGGCATCGTCTCTCCATGAGTACCCATTCCCACTCCCATTGAGAAGGAAACATTATCGGCCAGATGATCAAGAGCTTGGTGCACTTTTCCGGCTTCTACTTCTGGGAGAGGGTGGTCAGTGGAGTACAGTGGATAGAAAATGCTTAGGTCGACGCCTTCCACCACAGTATATGTTCGAGGACCGAAGAGGTAAGCGTGCCAGAAGTGCATTGCCTGGGGACTGGTTAGCAATTTGGATGCTAGTGCTAGAGCTGGAAAGAGTCGGAGTAGATCGGCATCTGAACAGGTCCAGTTCCTCCCTGCGAGGGTGGGATGTAGGTTCGATGTCGCCGATTGCTTGAGGATCTCTATGATCTTGGGATGTGTTCCTTGGGGGACTATCTCTGCCAGCAGAGATTGCAGTCGAGGACAAGTCGTACTCGCCATCTTCGGGACAGTGAAGAGCGGGAGTGGAAAAGCTTGCTATGCTTTGCGACTGTGTAGTTGTATTATGGTTGATTCGCTGAGACAATCCTCTTGTCTAAGGCCGGCAGAACAAAGACATCTCGGTGTCAGTAATAGGCTGCTGTATCTATCAGGGCAGAACAATGCGTTTGAAGTTCAGACAAAGGTGTGATAGTAGTTCATCCTTCGAAACGGTTCAGTGCAGACAAGTAAATCAATCTCATAGACTGTCCAACTTGCTAAAGAAGGCCTGATAGAAATGAAGAGACTGAGGGGAGGTTAGCATTCGAGATGCTAAGGCCAAGGCAGGGATAACGCGCAGAACGTTCTCGTCTGAGACGCTCTGCCACCGTTATCCTCCAAATGCAGGATACAAACTTGCTTGCGCACTATACACGAGCGATTTTATTAGGTTAGGTTGAGTGCCTGATGAACACTGCCCATTGCAGCAAATGGCAAATGTCGAAGTGAGGTCTGCTCTGGGGCCCGGCGTGGTAGGTGTGTGACGATTGGAAAGTAGGATCCGTCATGTGCTATTTGCGGTGCGTGTCGTGTCGTCTGAACCAGATATTGTCTTGCTTAATACTGAGACGGCCGATCTGTAAAGGGAGAGGAGTCACCCTAGACGTATTGTTGACCCGTCACGCTGAACAAGATGCAAAGTAGCGCGTAGAGAAAGGAGTCCCCAGTCAAAGCGCCCCCAAGTATTTACAGTGATTGTAGATTCCGTTCTATCGCTGCATGACGAGGCGTGGGACATGCAAGAAGCGCCCAAGGTGCGGATACTATTCACCAGAAAAAAGTCTACACTGCTTGGAGCAGTATGGCCTGAATCGTACGCACCTGGCATCATGTCCAGATGGAATCTCAGTTTTCTCTGTGACGAGAGGAGCAAGACCACTACGCTTTCAGACCTAGCGAGCCTCATGCTTGACGTTGCAGGCTAAACATCCTTCAGGCTGGGCAGTGACGAAGAAATCGTCAGACTCTGTAGACGCCTTACAAATCCGAAACTGGTCTCGGAAGCTCGTTCCACACATTCTCCTATCCGCTGACATCGAAGGCTCACTGACTCGCCAGACAATGCGACTGTCCTGGGCAATTCCCCGTCGCTCTTATTCGTACCATTGCATTGTACTTCTATACTGATGCAGGCCTATCTGTTTTGATCTTCTTGGATGTAATCCTGGTGGGTATCTACTCATAATATTTGCCTTGTAAACGAAGCTCTAAATGTTGCCGATGTTTCGGTAAATGCGAGCCACTTTCGGGTGTTAAAGCTTCGGGGTGTTGTACCAGCGCGTGCTCGCTCGGAGTTCGACTGGCACTGCTTCTATCCATCGATCCCATACGGAGCCTGCAGAAGCAAGCGAAAAATGATGGGCGTAAAGTTGGGCCATTGCTCCGTATGACCTCAGTTTCCCAGAAGCTTTCCATGAAAAGCATCCTGATTCAGTCGTTCGGAACCAAGCTGAAGATGTTGGTGTGTACGGGGATCTCGCCTCTCTGTGTTTGGTGGGAGTCCACAGGATAGTATGCGCCGCTAACTTCAGAACATGAGCTGTCCACTCAACATATCCATGAGTCGCTATGCAAGTGACCAATCCCGCCCGCGCGAGCAGTGTACCTTCTCCACTCCAAGCCCCATATCAGCAAGGAAAGAGACTCGCCAGAATTCCTCATAACGGCGACCATGTCAAGCGGAAGACCCAGCGTACGGAATTCCAGGAACCGGAGTCATCGCGATCCCCAAGCGAGTAGAGGTAACCACGGGTAGAGGTAGTAGCGGCTGCAGTGGGTGTTCAGAGAGTCGGATTGGTCATTTCGTGTCCGTGGAAATGCACCGGATAGGCAGGGGTTTCATTACTCATATGTCGTTATCTCGTAGGAGGACTGGAGAAGAGACGGTAAGATGGGGTCAGAAAGAAGAAGCTGCCGCATCATCTTCCGCTTTCGGCCATCACGAGCCATAGCAACACTCACAGGCTCTTCAACGTTAACAAACTTGTCGCCGTCGTGACCGGAGGCGGCACCGGGCTCGGCCTGTACATCGCTCGGGCTCTGGCTGCCAATGGGGCCAAAGCCGTTCATACTGAGCAAGAACAAGGCTATATCAATACTCTCTTCGAAAGTGCTTGGATTGCCGGACCGGACCAAGTCAAGCTTATGCAAAAGCGATATGATAGCAAACTCACGGTCAAGAATTTTCAAAACGCGATGCTGAACTCGCCAACGGAAGAATTTACCAACGCTCTCAACGTGAACACGGCTGGAGCCTTCTACACAGCCATGGCCACAGGAGTCTCGGATTACTCACGACTTCCGTGGCCGGCTTCTGCCGCTTGCCAGGGCTCAGTTTTGCGTATGGTACCATGTCTCCGAAGTCGCAGCCGGACGTTTGGCGAAGATGCTGTCAACTACATTTGCGGAGTAGTATGGCTGTCACATTCGCCGTCAACATGGGCGCCCTGGGCTTTGATCCATGCATTTTATCCTTGCGGAACTGCAGCTCCCCACGTGAGCGATATCGTTGTCAAAGGAGAAGGAGACGGTGGGCGTACCCGATATGATGCCGGCCTGCCGTGCTGGAGACTGGGAGTGATCGCGATTTGGCTGGCACTGTTCCCTTGGTGAGCAAGGCTGTGCCTTTCCTCGCGAGCAAGGCCAGGGCGTACTTGAACGGGACCAGAAGTCTGAGTGTGAGTATATCCTTGGATGTCTCGGCCAGATGCAGTCTCCACCTGTTCTTTATCTCCTAGAATGGCGGACTTCTCAGCCTGTTGCCTTTCACGTTTTGAAGCTCTTCAGGGGCCAAGCCTACCTTACCTTAGCTACCTGCATCTTTTGGATCATTCGAAGCGGATAGCTCGGACGTCGTCGATCCAAATCCTTGAATACTTTCTAGCAAGCTTTGAACGTCAAATCTCTCTTCACTTCCTTTCGTAAGGCAAGGGTTGTTTGTACAGCTAACCAGTGACCTCGATCATGCCCGCTAGTATAGAAATCCCGTCTCTACTTTCCGGCCTCTTCGTACCTCCTTTTACTAAGAGCTACTCTAGATTTAGAGAGTCAACCTTATACTATTACTATAATTCTAAACGGTAGTTATCTAACTAGTAAGTATATTTAAGTAGAGCTATTCTCTATATAATATAAAATAGATTAAGCTTCTATTATATATTTAGATACTTTATAGATACTTAGCTTTTAGCTTTCTAGTTCTAGCTAGCTAGCTATAAGAAGTTTAGAAAGGAAATATTTTATATTTCTATTTATAATAGATATAGTAGATATAGAAAATATAGTTCTAACTAATCTTAGAAGATATATAGAGAAAAATTCTATCTATATTAACTATTAAGAATATTCTAGAAATCTATAGTCTTTTAAAGTTGAATTAAATAATATATCTTTATATATTTCTAGTATCTATTATCTATAGCTTTATAGAACTCTACTATAGTATTCTACTATATAATATCTATATAAGATTATTAATCTAACTATTCTCTCTAAACTTCTAAGTAGAGTTTATAATTATATATCTATAGAAAAGTAGTTATTAATAGTAGATTCTAAGTAATAGAAGCCTAAAACGTTAATTAAGTCTTATATTATCTACGTTTCTTATAGGCTTAGAGTAAGTTAGCTTATAAATAGTCTATATAGAGATAGGAGAGACTACTCTAAGCTAATAAGAAAGAGAGCATCTACGTAGGTAGGGGGGTTGGAATTCGTACTACGTTAAGCTCTTAACGCTAAGTTTCTTTAGTAAGGATCTAGAATCGTAAGCTGTCCGGAGCCTTAGTGACCGTACAACACTTCCTGTCCGTTCCTGGCCCTTTACCGGCACATTCCTTGCTCCTCCCCCCCTCACCCCAGCTGATCGGAAACCTCTCACGTGAACTCGGCGCTGCCTCTTCCAGCCTTCCGCAACCCAAAATCCCTCACCACCTTGCCCGGGACCCCATGGAGATGGATCTGATGGCCCTATTTCGGGTTCGATTGCGTGGTGTATTCACGGGCACGCTTAGAGCAACGCTAATTGACGGCAGAGACCAAAGCCAAAGGCGGTGAACGAGTCCAATACTTGACCGTGATTCTGCCACTGTATACGTCGTCTCCGTGGGTCGACTAGGTCGCCGGTGGCAAGTAGTTTTACGCAGCAATGTGTACGCCATGATTATCGCTGGTATCGAGTTGATCACTCTCCATCAGCTTTGCCTGCTCCTCGTCGTTCTTCCTCTTGCCTCTATCACCATTACCTACCTTTCATCATGGTTGCAAAGCGGGAGCCGAAAGGCAGACTCCAAGAATGAGCCACCCCTACTTCCATACTGGCTGCCGTATCTCCAACATTTGCCATACTTTCTCTGGAATCCGGGCGCTCTGTACCTCGCTGGGAAGAAGCAGTACCCAGAGACTCCATTCACTCTGGTCTTGGCGGGAACCAAATTCCATGTCTTCAACTCCCCCGATACTGTCAATCATGTCTTCAGCCGATCCAGAAAGTTCTCCTTTGAGCCCGTTATGGCTAGTATGATGGAAAATGGTGTCAATCTTCCCATTCCCGATCGGCCAAAGTTCCTCTCTTCGGGCTCTCTGCCAGGACAACCCAAATTCGTAAACGAGAATCACAACATTTGGGTACAGAATCTGTCCGGGAAGCGTCTGGAAGATATCATGACGATCTATATGAAGCATTTTCGACAGGTACTGGCTGGACAGATCGATCTGCACTCGTCTGACTGGATCCGAGTCAATTTGTACGACTTTGTTCGAAGAGTAATCTTTGAAACTTCGGCCTTGACTTTTTTCGGACCGCGTCTGAAGCAGATATGGCCGACTATGTGGAATGACTGGCGACGATATGATGATGCAACGTATGTTGGCGTGCGGACCAATTGGGCATACTATCTGCAACCCGGGGCGTATTCTGCTAGGGAGAAGATGTTTGACGCTTTTGAGAGGTGGATCACTGCGGCTGGCGAGCAGGATTGGGATGAAGCGGACGGAGCGTGGAGTGAAAGCTGGGGCTTTAAGATGAACTGGGAGCGGGATAAGCTGGCCAGAGAGAACGGTTTTACTTTTCGTGGCAGGGCTTGCTTACAGGCGAGCTTCCTATTTGTGTAAGTTCAAGTCACCTCTGTGGTGGAGAGGGGTTCGCTGATCACGTTAGAATTGTTACCAATGCTGCGCCAATGGCAAGCTGGTTTGCGTGGTGTGCAGCTGGAACACCAGAGCGGTTGGCTCTGTATCGATCCGCTACTCAGCGTGTCGCTGTATCCTCCAATGGAGACAGCGGAGTGCTGTCTTCAGATCTAGATCTGACGTCGCTCAAACAGGATCCCTATATCCACGGTCTCTGGCTCGAAGCTTTGCGTCTGGGAACTGCCAGTGCTGCAGCCCGTGTCGTGATGGAAGAAGACATGGAACTCGAGGGCTTTCTAGTACGCAAGGGCAGTGTCGTACTGTTGCCAGTCCAGCTAATGCACTCCGACGAGGAAGTCTTCCCGGACTCGAGCGAAAACCAACCTGAGAGGTGGATGATTACTGACGCGGACCAGCTGAAGCGTATGAACAACACGATGCGACCTTTCGGTGGAGGGAAATCGCTGTGCTCCGGCAGATTCGTTGCTGAACATGAGATCATCGGCGTGGTGACGAGTCTGCTGTTACTCTTTGATATCAGATTCGAGCCAGGGTCAGATACGTGGGAGTTCAACCCGAGAAGTATCGGCGTGATGGGGCCGAGGAAAGATCCTATTGTGTATCTGCGGCGGAAACCGTTCTCGTCATAAGGCCCAATCATCCTCGTGGAGCTCGTATCGATGCAGTTCAATTTCAGCTTCTCTTCCTTCCCGAATGACGCTTTGCCATATCTCCGGGCTTCGTGGAGTAAATCTGCATCTGAATGGCTTTGGTCGAATATTGAATCCGCTCCTTAGACACGAAGTCAGTCATTATCTCTCTCAATATCATAGCCACGTACGTATAGTTGAAGATATCTAGGACTTCTGGCTTCCCTGTCTGTTCGTCGAGTTCACTTTCGATATTGAATGCCCACAGAAAGCGAGCGATCTGTGTAAGAACACCCTGCTCAGCTAGCTCTGCTCCCGCACACACTCGACGACCCCAACCGAACGCCATATGCCGCTTCTCCATTGGCAGTGGGCGATAGAGCTTGTGGTCGGCGAAGTGGCGTTGCGGGCAGAAATGATCTGGTTCGGGGAAGTCACGTTCATTTCGATGGATCGCCCAGAGATTTCCAGTCACCGAAGTGCCTTTGGGTATTAAATAGCCCTGTACATATGAATCAGAGTTGAATCCAAATCCAAAAATTGAGTGAGATGAACCCACGTCGAAAAAGTCGTCTTCCAGAGGCGCATGAGGCTGGCCTCCCAGAACAGCCGGTGCTCTCCATCTAAACACTTCTTTCATGACTGCTTGAACGTGCCGCATCCCGACAGTGTCTTCGCTCGTCGGGCTTCGCTCTGATCCGCAGATCTTATCAATTTCTTCTCGTGCTTCTGACATTGCCTCGGGGAAGCAACACGCCGCCAAGAGAAAAGATAGCACGGTATACGTTGAGGTTTCCACTCCGGCACCAAAGAGGTTTCCCGTCAGCGACGTAACCTCATGATTGGACAGCTCGTATTTTCTCTGTGATTCGTAGATGTATCTGAAATAGCAGTCTTGTCGACGCTCCGATGCCTCTTGGGCCATACAATAATACATGTCGGACTCACTGGATCCGGAGCGAAACATCTTTCTGATGGAGGGGAGACTTGACATCCATGGAAACGTCTCCAGAATCATGGGAAAGTGCTTGCCAACGACGACTTTCTCTCCCATTTCTGCAGTAACTTTGATGACCTTGACCGTCAAGGGATCATTGAGCTCTCTGATACGCTTTCCGGTCCCGATGACTGACATGACACTCGTCGCTGCGCGCTCTAAATGGTCAACGTAATTTTTAGAGCTTTCAAGCAGACGAAGTGCTGTGATCTTGCTCTCCGCGCTCTGAATGTGGCGATAGGATTGAACCTTCTGCTTTCCAACGACGCTGTGCGTAAGTCTTCGGTGCAGGCGCCATCGTTCCCCGTAGTACATTGTCGCGATGTTATTGAGACCTCCGAGCAGCTCACCGAGGACAACTTGTCGTGGTCGAGAGGCATAGTTAGAAGCCCGCTTATTGAGAAGTTCGTGTGCCGTCCAACAGTCGTTAAGATAGATCGTTGGCTGTCGCCCAACCCAAAAGGTTATGATTGGTGATTTGTATTGTTTCGACAACTGCTCGATAAGAATCCATGGCTTCTCGTGCGGAAAAATCAAGGTGTTCCCAAAGAGAGGTATCGGCAGTGGTCCTGGCGGCTTGAACACCACTTAGTGTCATGGTCAACAGTATTGGGGCTTACGAACCAGCTTTCTCCTCAGTAACAATATCCTGCAATAGTCGAAGACCAGCAACACGAGCCCGAAGCCAATCGCATAAGCAAGGAATACCAGCAGTGTCGTCATCGCCGCTCTCAGTAAGGGAATGAGGGTGCGTATACTTCGCTGTCGTTGAGTTCCTTTAGTCGTTGAATTGGGCCTTTTTAACGGTTGGATTTTAGGCGTTTACTTCTTTGACTGCTGTAATAAGTGATTAATAATTCGAATACTATACCTCTACGGCTTTAGAGACTCCGAGTACGGTAAACTATTAGGAACGATAAAGGCGAAGCTTATATAATCTATAGATTTCTCTATTTAAGAACTTAGAATAGTTAGAGAGATAGATCTCTAGTCTAAATAGATATCTTTTAATAGGTCTAAAATTTAGTAAAATAGAAATAATATACTAAGCTATATATATAATCTTATTTCCGTTTAATTCTATAAACTTATTATTAAAGTAGCTAGTATAGAAAGAGGAGAATAGAGTAAAAGCTAGAGTATATAGGAGTAGAGACTACTAAAGTAGAGACTACTAAGATAATAGAAGATAATATTACTTAGACTATTACTAATATAGTAAAGAATAGAGCTAAGACTCTAGTAGTAAAGAAGACTCTTATAAGATTAGCTAAAGCTAAGTATAAAATTTATCTTAAAGTATAGTAGAGATTATTATTACTATACTAGTAAATCTTAGCTAATCTAATTAAGATTAAGTAGACTTATAAGATAGATAAGAACTTTATATATAGCTCTACTAGATTAATTTTAGTATTATATAGTAGAACTAAAATCTAGATTAGTATAAGAAAGAAGAAATTATAGAACTAATTTAGTTTAAAGACTAGACTCTTTAATCTTAAGACTATAATCTTAGTATAGATATCTAGAGTTACTTCTTTAAAAATTTCTCTAGAGAGTAAGTACTAGATAATTAATATTAAAGGACTAGATAATTAATATTAAAGAATATTATTAAGTTATATAATATATATACTATTAAAATATATTACTAAATATATCTTTAAAATATAAACCTTATAGAAATCTATTAAGTACGTTACTAATTATAGCTACTTTATTTGTAGTAGAATACTATTTAGTATAGTCCTAGAATTTATATAAAGTAAAGAGAGTCTTAAAGTATCTATATTAGAACTCTAATTCTACTAATAATACAATCTACAAATACTAAAATTTTAAAGTAGTAGAGGTAGAAAATATAATATTCTTTTCTAAATAGAATAATTTATTTATAGATTTAGACTATAAAAGAATATAAAAATAGTATGTTTAACTTAAATAGTATGTCTAACTTAGTATATACGTATATAGATCTTATCTATACAGAGGTTTTGTATTGGTCTCTACCCAGTTGTAAGAGTAGTCCCGATAATTCGTCTATCTAACCATGTAAGAAGGCTTCCCAGCCGTCTCACCCCCCTGAGCTTGACGAATGGCATCACCCCGGAGCACGCCCCAGTCCAATGAAACACTGCCGCTCCCAGGTTCGTCGACTGTGGACCTAGAAGAGGGGTCTGTATCACGTGCGTCTGCAGTCTCTGTTGTAGCCGGCATCATTTACTACAGAGCATGTCAACGAACATCCGCATCTTCCAGATGCCCTCACAATGCACCTGCTCTCGATAGCCCTGCTGCTGGCTTTATCGCTCTTCGGATGCAAGTCTCTCCATCTCTTCGCCACATCAAACGGTCTCCTCAAGCATCTCGAAAAATGTATCACGGATGGAACAACACCTGGAGGCAGGCCGCTCCGGACGTTAACAACAAACGGCCGATTTCCAACTATTGATCTCCAGCTCAGGGCCGTAGCGGTATTTCTCCTCATCTTCTGCGAAGACCTTCGAAATCCCGACGCAGATGTTGTCGGCTTCAGCTTTGCGGCAAATTGGGGAGCTTCCTGGATATTGATTGTTCTGGAAAGTTTGAGAGACTACAGTCGAGCGAGGTTTATGAGTTGGTATGTCAACGAAATGTCTCGAAAATGTTGAATCGAGACTTACCTCGTGAGTCAAGGATTACAATTCCTGGAATTATCATCTTCAATCAGTCCAATGCAGTTTTCACGCCATTGTATCTCGCGATTCGACTTGCATGTGGATCCGCCTCTCAGTCCCCAGAAGACTTGGTCGTCAGCAACGCAGATTTGGAAATGTTGCCGTGGAGCTTTGTTCTTGGGTACGTTGTTCCACTATTTGCAATGGCATTACCAGGCATTGCGATCAAAGGGATCAACACAAAGCATGTCATGGCGTCTTCGTACCAACAATGGAACGTGTACATCAGTCTGATGCATGCGATCTTGGTGCGGTCTGCATACAAACCACAGCATTCAGCCTCGACGGTTGGCGTGGAGCTCCTAGCCAAGCTGCGGCCAGTCTACATGTTCACAATGGTGTTTGCCGCGGCGTCATTATGGATTCCTACGATCATCTCGGCTTTAGCAAGTCTCTCTGGTCCCAAAAGCTTCACGGAGCTGAGTTTCAGGAGCGTGTTCATTCCACCTTCCCCGTGGAGCAAGGCCCAGTGCAGAAGTATCTTCGAGGGAGGGAAGTGGCTGTTACAATGGGACGGCATAATTGGCAGTATCGGCAGCGCTGTCTGGGCAATGGCCTTGTTCAACGAGAGCCGAGTGATTCTAGCACCGGAATTCCCGCTCAAGGCCTGGCTAGGGAAAACTATATCATACCTGGTTTTAGGTGGGCCTATGGCGGTTGCGACTGGATTTCTTTGGGAGAGAGACGCACTGGTGCTGTCGGGGAGGACCACGTCTCTGATATAGGAGTCTAACTCGGAGGTCTTGCTGTAATCTACGCTGTCGTAAAGCCGTGATCGACTGCAAGCTCAGCTCCGTTGACGCCAGGTGCTGTAAGGAGGTGCAGCAGATGCGGCATGATGTCGTTCGCTTGTAGTAGTGCGGGCAACAGTCCCCCATAGGGCTGTACTCGCTCAAAACCGAACTTGTCCGGCTCTCTCCCTGTATTTGTGATGTTGGTGCCTTCTGTCGGTCCAATCAATAAAGCATTGCATTTGACCCCTTCCTTGGCATACATCCACGCAGTGGATCTCGACAACCCCAGGAGTGCATGTTTCGACGCCGTATAGGCTGCACCACATGCAGCACCTCGAATAGAGGCCGTGGAACAGAAATTGACAATTCGGCCTTTCGTCTCCTGCCTCAGGAAGTATGGCATGCAGGCGCGCGTCAAGAACATTGGGCCTTCCACGTTGACGGCAAAGCACCTCCTCCAGTCCTCGGTCGCCGTGTTTCCAACGCCAGCTTTTTCACTGTCATCAATCAAGTACTCTCCGAACTCATGGCTGGCGGCACTTACCAAACCGATCCAGGATGCCGGCGCAGTTGACCAGCATATCGATTCTCTCCCACTGCGCCGCAACCAGAGCGACTGCATTCTCGACTTGGCCTTCGAGCGAGACATCACATTTGACAAGCAGCAGGTCAGAGTCTTCTGAGGTTGCTGTGTCGGTAATGTCGAACGAGGCGACCCTGGCGCCATGTGCTCTTAGACAATTGACGGCGCACTGGCCGATGCCTGAGGCACCTCCGGTTACGATGACCACCTAGAAACCCGAATTGTCAAATTGTGTATCCGAACCCGGTGGGAAATGCGTATCCGCACCTGGTCTGCGAGTTGCTTTTCCGTCATTGTTCGACGCGTAGATAGAGATTACGATCGCGATGCCGCTCGGATGGGGAAAGAGGATGCACGCCGAGTGGGCGTCAAGACGAGAGCCTTGTCGAGCGCAGTATCAGACGCAACGCATGACCGAATCAGCTCAAGACATGCATCTAGAGTATCCTCCCGGTGAGACATGCGCAATAATTCTGTCGTTCTTGTTGGTGGCTGTCTCGGGAGAGGCGGTGAGGGAATCAGGCTTCTGGAGTCTTAGACGCGTGGGTCAGCCGGGTGAACAAGGAACAGGGACCTTTTCGTACTGTAATAATAATGGGTTTCGAGCGGGGGGTCTAAGTCCGAGCCCAAGCCGGAGTCCTGCTGCCCGGCCCTGCCCTAGCTCGACTGCTGGTGATGATTGTACATGTGTCGGTAGTGTTAGAGTTCTCGGCTGTAGCTAGCCAGAATTGTCATAGTGTACAGCCATAATCACGGTAAATGTATAGAAAGGAAAACTCGTTAAAAGCGAGCCTTACTTATTAAGGCTTAGCCTCCTTTATTAGAGTTTATATAAAAGATAGGGTAATAACCTATTAAGAATACTATAGTCTTATTCTTTGCTTAATTAGCTTTTATACTTTCCCTTAATTATTAGTTATAAGTCTAGTTAGCTAGTAGCTTCTACTTTACTAACTTTACTATTAATTAGATCTCTACTACTTTCTTATTTAGAAATATCTAAAGTCTCTTATACTTAACAATTAATTAACTAAAATATTAGCGCCTATTAATAAAAGAGAGATTCGTCTTACTAATTAATTAAGATACGACGAATAGTTCGATTAATCGAAGTCGAAGGCTATTAATCTTAAACTCTAGAAGTATATAAGATCTAATAAACTAACTACTACTAGAATAGATATTAACTACGTTCTAGAACTAATAGAACTATTAATAGAACTACTACTAGAAGTACCTAAAGAAGGTACCTCTAATAAACTTTAGAAGAGGTATTAATAATAGGTCGCTAACTATATTCTATAGGTAGAGTATTACTAAATACTCTAAGTAGAATTTAATAAGTTTAAGAAGTTAAAGAAAGAATTTAAGAAGTATATTAACCGAACTATCTCTATAATATACGTTACTAGAATAACTATAGAAAATCTTAATACTCTTAGTAGTTAGTAGGATTATATCTATACGAATCTTAAAGCTAGCGATAATATCTATCGTAACTACCTTAAGAAGAAATATAAGGAATAAATAAGAGAACCGAAATTAGAGGATTATAACTAGTTCTTAATAAGATAGTTAGAACTCTCTAATAGGCTTACTATAATTAATTATTCTCTTACTACTTCTATTAACTATAACTTCGTAAGGATAGTAGAATTAATAATAAACCTTACTTAAGATTATATTATCTCCGATACCTATACTACCTTATAATAGTCTATCGATAAGACTAAGGAGTTTATTACGAGAAATCTAGAGAAGATAAGAAAGCTTATAGCTAATACTACTATAGATAGTAGTAAGAATACTTTATAATTAAAACTAAGAGAGTAAAAGAATACTAACGATTCCTCTACTTAGAAGTCGAGTAGAAAGTTTACCTATAGGTATAGTAATATTACTAGTAAGAATAAGAAGAGAGCCTATAGAAGACTAAAGGACTATAAGATAGTTAATTACGAGAAGAGGCTCTTATTAAGTCTATAACTTAATAATT